TATACTTTTAAGCATTGAAATTGTGCAATATTTTTGTATTTGGATGCAAAGAATTTTAGGGTCTGGACGACGAAAAAGCATGAAAAAGATGTGCTCCTAGAAGAGATATTGGTGCTAAAACATCAATTCTATGACACGATTCTATCGTAACAAGCCTAGCGAATGACTGTGACGCTGTTCCGTTCAGGTTTTCTCTGTATTTTTGGCCATGCGATTATAATTCTGCCTCATTTATGCTACACTTAGAGTAAAACTATCATTTTCGTTGGTATGACATTGGTTGTTTATTTTGGAAAGAATAATTAATACGACTCTGTTTTCTTACAGAGAATCGAAGACGATCGTTTCTCCCTGTAACGCTGCCGCCGTCCCAGACTTCTTTTATCGACCTCTAACGATTCCATTTGTCCGTCGCGTATGTGAAGTAATCAGCACATGTTCACCACGACCTCCTCTATCTGAAGGCTCGATGGAGCTCGTTCTCTACACACATCGCTCCCCAGATGTCATGGAGCACCTGTTTCATCTTGCTGGTCTCATCCCAGATAGGTATGACATTACATTACAAAACGCACTTTTCTATTCGGACGACAAAATTAATACTACGTATGTATGGAGCCCACACGTTCTTATTCCAACATGTTTATGCATTTTATATCCTAGTATTCTTCCTACTAAAAAAGCAGCGCATGCAGAATTCTTGTTATTATCATGTGCGCAGAACTAGCCCTTAGTCTCTCCTGACTACTTAGATTGTCATGCATTAGACTATTAATTAAGGTCCTGGTGACTTTTGCAGGGTACCGGTCCCACTGCAGGTTCACGATTACATTCTCAAGGCTCGTCCACAATACACGATAGTACAGACGTCATCCACAACACGCAAGCGCCCGTTGCCTGCAGAAGAAATTGGATCAGAATGCGATGATGGGAGTCGCGAAAGTCATCCTTTGTTTGAGTTAATTAAACGACGTGCCCTTGAAGTTCCCAACCTGCCCAATACGTCTCCAACATTCGGCGATCTGGGTGATATGGATGTGCACCGATGGGAAGAGGTCGGCGTTCAAGGGGTGCAACCGCCAACAGCTCTTAATAACGCCTTAACCGGAAGCTTGAACGTACACTAACGGCTCCCTATACGCTGACATCAGAGTTCAGTCAGGTGTCATGGTCGAAAGTTGTCAGGCTATTCCGTTGGGAGAACCATTCTAATCGCGTAAAGATTTTGCTGTGCAGAATGATTTGGTCATATCAGCCAAAAGATTTTGAGGCCAGCGAAGTGAGTACCCGTGAATTGAAGGCTGATTGTAATATGCTGCTGTTTTGACATCCGATAGAAATTCTTAACCCATACCTGAGTGGTCTTGAAATTGAGGAAGTAAGCCTCTAATCTGATTCTGTTTGATTAGAAAATGTTGGGCCTTCGTTAGTTTTTTGAACAAACAGTAGTCTGGCGACCGTTCGCTAATCCGATATTCTGTGATGGCCGAGGTTTACAGACAACGACCTCACTATTATTATTGCTACACGATTGTAGTTGTTGTATTATGATTACTGTGACTCGAAACTAAGCATATACATTACATATATGATAACGATGCTGATAATGATTCCGATAACAGAGGCTAAGAAAGCGACGGCAGAAAGCAACATATGTATCATATTATCACATTGAGGATGAGACTGCAAAATACATTTAGATTCGTTCTTCCTTCTTGAAGAAATGGCGACTATGACTCCGCAACCCATACTTTCCTAAAGATCTTCCACCGTGTATCTGTCTCCCACCAACTGATTATCTCCCATTCGCTCAGTCAGGCAAAAATGGCTGACGAGGAAAGACACTCCTCACCAACGTCGCTAATCGGTTTTATTTGAATCAATAGCCAAGTAAGAATATCCTCCACAAAGAGAGCTACCCGCATGAATTTTGTTTCTATGTTTTTTACCTCTAGTCGACAAGCAATGCTATTAACCAATGCGTACGTCCAAAAACATTAGCGTATACGAGCTCAGCGTATTATTTGACTTTTAGATTTTCGCACTCGTCTGTGCTAAGAATAAAGTTGTGCGTATAAAAAAAACCGTATACAAAAAATGCTACTGACAAAATGTCGCAGTTGCCATTCAGTAGCTGAAGTTCTACACACTCGCAATTAATAGAACTAAACACACCTTAGTGATACCATAAAAACTAAGTTCTACGTGAGTACCTAATTTTTAGTTCGTAGATCGTTGTACCTATTTTTTTTTTAGGAAAAACCAAATGTGTTCGATACGTCAATTGTTTCCGTGCTACTCTAGGCTGTCCTTAAAGGCGTGACCGGGAACGAAAACTTGCGCCCGTTATAAATGTCTGGTGACATTATTCTTATTATTATCTCACAATGAATATATTATAATATAAATGTAATTACGTATTTATGATTTTGGTTCAGCTGTTGTTCGGTTTAGTAAAGGATTCACAGGTTGCTTAACCCCTAATATATACAAAAAAAAAAACAAACTATTGACGTAGCCGTGTGATGAACGACGGATGGGAATACGAATAATACTAGTTATTATTAGTTATCATAATAATATGATCTGACATAAATTAAGTTATACCAAGTATATATATATATATATATATATATATATACAATGCAAAAAGGGTGAAGTCGTGCCGAGGTTACAAACAGGCAAAAAAAGAAAAAGTGAATATTGTAACATATGTTTGTAATATAGAAAGCAAAACTAAGCCTGACGATGCGATAATTACTATGATAATAACAATGATGATTTTGTGGGCGCGCGGCATTGTCACCCTGTCGCGCATGTATATTATGATGTACATAAAAGGCCATGGTTAATGGCAATAAATAAGTAAGAAGAATTGAATAAAAGACGGAAAAGTATAGGTCTTTTTTAAAGGACACAATGACGTGTGCTAGTTTTACCACCTAACGTTGATACGATACCTAGGACTGGTTGAGTCCTGGGTGAATTGGATGCTGTCTTTCTCTATACTGTAGAAATAATTCATAATAAAAACTCTTGGAATCGTATAGCATTGGACGAAGCAAATGGCCAGGAAGTGCCCTGTTCTCTCAATTTGTGTTATCCGTGTATATATATGTATAGGCTAGTAGCTCTGACGAGATTAAGGTTCTAGCCGTTCGTCCATATGTTAGCAGCGAAAATGTAGATCACCTTTGTGTAATTTTTCTCACGATTATTTTATGATACTCTCTTAGTTCAGTGCCTAGCTAGAGAGTGGACTTGTTTACTGCATTTTGCGTCTAGTCAATCGGTCTGTTATGAAAGGGACTCTAACCAGAATTAATTATCACATATATAACTATTGTAAAGCTCCGATAAGATGAACGATAGCTTCGATTTTTCTACAAACGATAGCTATGTTTGTAGATTTGTTCTTTTTTTTTATTGTCATCGAATCTGGCAGTCGTTTTTCTAGTCAAACTAGCTGAATAACATCACTAGGTTCTATAGAGTGTTTTTATTTAAATCTGGCGTAACGTAGAAGACCTTCCTCCTCCGAAATCTTCATTTACTAATCAAGATACACCTTATCTCACTGTAAGAATAGATTTGATTGTTTGTACTTTATGACCGTTAATAGAAAGTTCTAGTAATAAGCCGTATATTATATGGAATTAGAAATATTCAATTGAGACGTAACTCGAACGCAGTATTCTAAACATTTATACACTCACCACAATATTAGTGGCTAAGCGCGTTAAATCTGCTGGGCCGAAGTCAGATGTGCGATGTCCGCTATTTTTTCTACCGTATTAAATAACGATTTGCAGGTAGAGATTTGTATGTCTTTAGCACCGTCAATGATTCGAAAACTTTACAAGCATCGCTAACGGAGACAACGATATTAATGTGGTTGCGCGAATTTGTTTATTATTCTAGAAATCTAATTATCACTGAGAATCTGTTACATAAACAGAGTGAATAAAAACTTAAATAAAATAAGTAGGTCTGCCACAAAATCTGGATGCAACAAAAATAAGTTGTGGCGGTCGCGCACCCAGATCATGAAGCCGTGGCTAATCGAAATGTTTTGAGGGCCAACCAGACGATTAGTATGTGAATATGGCTTTGTTGTCTGCTCTTCGTCTGCGCGTACCATCAATCGACCACAAAGAGTCTAGCGAGAGACCTGAGCATCACTGCGCTGCCTATCTAAAGTTCAGCTGTAACGTGAAGAATCGCAACGAGGGTTGAAGATCCGTGTGTCAAGAGCGGCACAGTGCACGCCGTCTAGCAATTGCGATTGTGCAGACGAAATAACCTCATAGCGGAGCCCTGTAGCAGCATCTGTCTCCTAGTTGTTGGCAGTGCCGCAGGGCGGCGGGCTGTCGTCACGCTGTAGCAGTGGCAGCTATAGCAGGCGTGCAATCGTTTGGCATTGGAAGATACTTCAGCGGCGGTGACGAGTCTTGATCGCGGCGCCAGTTTAGAGAAAAACCGGACCAGCAGCTGATCTATCGGCCGTCAAAGGGTCGGCACTCACTCGGTTCGCTCGCACGCACGGAGAGGAAACAAAGAGAAGGAAGACGTTTATCTACACTGCGACAGAGAGAAGGCAACACCCGATTGGCTGACGCTCCGTCGTCTGTTTGTCTATCAATGCGAGTACTTTGCTGGGGCAGAAGCTGAACCGCTCGACGCAACGAGTGAGCAGCAGAAAGCTTGCGGAGACAGACAGTCGAGTGTAGCCTCCTACGGACGCGTAGTTTACAATAACAACAATGTAAGTAACTATTGTCGTCTCGCAAGTTGCCACCAACTTTATACTAATTAGCGGTTATATATTTTACATCCGACTAACAGGTTCGAAGCATTCCGGTGTTACCGTTTTACATATTTCATTCGTTCAGCCTCGAGACCGTGTTTACAGTTTTAGTTGGTCTGATGGGAGACAGTTGGCTCACCGGGTGGGGCAGTTGAAAAATAATGGCGCCGGGTGGCAGCGACGATATGGCCGTCTGAAACGATGTTGAAGGTGGGCACAGCCCATGGTTAGGTTGTTTGATGAGTTTCGGGACAAATACTTGATAGCGTGTTACCCCCTGCTGAGTGCCCATAGCCGACAGCTGTAAGCACTAGCCGATGGTGACGATGATGTTGGGGGACTGAAAATGAAGTGAAAAAGTTAATAGAAACTTTCACCATAACTACGACAGGAAGTGTGAAGTTGCAACTAGCGTACACAATATGATAATTATGAATGCTATTATTTAGAGCAGCGAGACAAACGTTTTCCAAGAATACGTATCCATATTATCATAACACGTAACTGCTGGACTGGGCCATCTGTGAACGGTTTCATGCTCCGACAACCCCTGACAAAAGCAAGTGATGCTTTTAGGTTGGCTATTGATAAGTACACTGAGCGCTATGGCTAACTTATGCAAAGCTTCGAGCCATTAAACAATTAAGTTTTCAATCATGTAAAGTATTGATGGCAACAGTGGCCGCAGCTCTAGTAGTGGTATTAGTATTAGTCATATCTGCCTTCAACGCACTCTGAAGATTGCAGAATAGACTACACCTGAAGGATCATGCAACGCGTCTTGCAATAGATAAAGTAACTGAAAAAAAGCATGCTTTGAATGACACTGTAATTTTCCTATATGATCTAGTTTGTGAATCTTTTTTTTTAAAAAACATGTCAAAATAATAGAACGAGTTGGGCCGAATCATCATTAACAAGCAAGCTTTAATTTTGACTGGTACTTTCCAATGTATTATATGTACATAATCATCAGAAAAGGTATCGCTGGCAAGCTGCATGCAGCGACTAAGGTGAGAAGATATAAACTATGGGTATCATAGGTATGACACTGGCGGATGAACGGGTCATCAGCGAACATTATGCTGTTTCATAATGCAACCATCGCGGTTAAAGGAAGCCACTATAGATAAATTGTCGGCAATTGTTTACAATTATACTCGGAGTTTAATGGAAGTTTCCTATAGTACAAGAAAAACGCGTAAATAAATACCACTCAACAGAATCAAACACTTTGTTACAGAATCATTTTATTAAATACACTATATTGTACGTCAACATCGAAATGGCATCAGGACAACTGACCTCATGTGATACCTTTGTTGTACTGGCACCTGCCGCCGCAAAAAATCGTGTCGTCTTCGGAAAAAACTCGGATCGACCTAGTGGTGAAGTTCAAGAGGTTTGTGTATTTGTGAATTCGTTAATTATTAATTATATTGAAATACGATTTCTGCTTATGGTTCTTAGATTAAGCAAGATGCCGAGTGATCATTCACAATATATGTGTGTATTTTTTTGCTATCACTAATTTGCGTTTTTTAATTAAATCTAATAATTGTTAAATTAAATCATTCTCTTGGTTTTCCAACGATGCAGATTCAATATTTCCCTGCGGCGACTCATCCGATTGGCTCGACGCTGAAATGCACATTTATTGAAGTGGATCAAGCCGAGAACACGTATGGCGTAGTGGTTTCGCGTCCGATCTGGATGTGGGGGGCTGAAATGGGAGCCAATGAGCATGGCGTTGTTATTGGTAACGAGGCTGTCTGGACCAAGACAAACCCAGAAGGCATGAAAACAAAAAAGCTTCTTGGGATGGACCTCGGTATGTTTTGTTGTTTATCAAAATAAGGTTTTGCGATGAGTCGAGTGTTGCAGTTATTGCAGAGTTCTCTTATCATTTTCTTGATTGTTCTCGTTTTAGTCCGCCTGGGTCTCGAGCGCAGCAAAAGCGCGAAGGAAGCGGTGGACGTCATCACCTCTTTATTGGAGAAATACGGGCAAGGCGGTCCGTGCAATCAGAGCAAGGATTTATTCTACCATAACAGTTTCCTAATAGCCGATAATAAGGTTCGTTAGCTTGGTACCGACAGCGGTTGTATACTGCTCCGGATACATGAATGAGCTGGAGAAGATGAATTATGTATTATAACACCAATGTTTACTCAGCAAATTAAATATAGATCAATATTCCCGCCAGGGAATACCAATGAGCATAGCAGAACTGTATTCGTTCGAATCGAACAGCATTCAAAACAGATGCTTAAAGCTTGAACCAATGATACTAATGTACAATTTGGCTTAAACCGTATTATATAATGCTTGACTTATCAGGAGGCGTACGTTCTAGAAACGGCTGACGTCTTCTGGGCGGCTGAAAAAATATCCTCTGGCTTCCGCAACATTTCAAACTCCTTGACCATCGGAACCTCGTTTGACCTTAGTTCGGAGGGCCTCAAGGAGAAGGCTCAAACAGCAGGGTTCTGGGATGGAAATGGAGAATTTGACTTTAGCAAAGTCTTTTCGGATGGAGACGTCTGTTCACGATATGAAGCTGGCAAAAAATTGCTAGAAACCCACGCTAGCGAAGGAGGTAACTATTCCTACTTTGTAGGCCGTATTCGTGAATGATGGCGAGATGCACGTATTCACGTCATAATCGTTCTAGTCGCACTGGTCACGTGGGTCTTCGTATACGAGAACGAAGGGGTCGGTCTGGGGACACTTTCGATTTTTGTTATCTACAATGAACACATCTGACTGAAATCGTTTTGGCATCTACTCCATTCATAAGCAATCTTCAAGCACGCCTCAAAGAGTTTGCTGCAAACGTGTAATGGAATGGGCTTACACAATGGAATACCTTCTTAGGTTCTATCGGCATGTTTGTGTAATTCAATGTTGCCTGGATGTAGGCATATAGGATTTTCATTAGTTGCCCTTCTATAGGCTGATTATAATGCTTAGAGAAATCGTTTATATTGTCCGCGTTTTTAAACCTTTATTGCGCACAGTTATGAGGTAGTATGATGTGTTTTTTGCATATGACAAAAAGCAGTGTATATATGTGTATATGTATATGGCGGCGTGGTAGCGTTTATGTTTTATTTTTTAGATCCATAGAGAAATATGAGCACATGTCAAATGACTGCATAATATTGCAGATTTTGACCACACGAAGATGATGTCGATTTTACGCTCACCTGCCGTGTGCATGCCCCGGGGCCGGTCACACGTTACGGAGTCCGCTCAGGTTCGCACACTTAACCATCTTCTGTTATTTTGCATGTTTTATATACTTACGCCATTTCTAAGCTTTACGTTTTGCTTCAGCTATATTAAGATATGTTATATTGAGTTATCTTCTCTGTTACCGTAAGGATTTAAATTGGAACGCGTGCCTCACCTCTAGAGCATCCTGCATGGCGCTGTTATTAATGAGGTGAAACAATCATAAGGTGCAGAGCTTTAAGTGGGTGTATTGTCGCATCGCGGTGACAAGTGGCATTGTCTTGGATCTTTCTGTTCTCTCAAACATCCTCTTTAGGTAGTTTGAATAACATTTGTCATTTTCGAGTTCGGCTGCCGAAAATTGGGGTAGAAACCCCATCGATTCTTGAATAATAACATCTTATATGTAGGTAATTTTGACGTGAGCCAAATGGTGGCCATCCTTCGGGAAATCAGTCAAGACCAGAAGACCGATCAGCAGACTACCGTTCAGTCGTCTCAGGTATGCTAAAGCATCAGCGAATGTCGAAAAGCCAATGGATTCATCTAATAAAAAAAAAACAAGAATTATCAGTTTATTTGTGTTTCAGCGTTTCAATGTATCGATGTTTTGTTGAACATATTTGATTCAAGGGAAACATTTATTGGCAGCTGCCAAACTTCAATGTTTTAGTTACTCAGATATGAGCAGTATCGCACCTTATAAGACTTCTTGTTTTAGACTGGAACTGATGCGTCGGAGTGGCCAGCGTCTACGTTCCCGTGGAGATAACCAATTGTTATAATGGTTTCTACAGGGATTGGTTATTTTTGGTGTTGGATCCTCGTCTAAATAAAGAGGGCTGTTTAATTTGCGGCACCTTTTTTTTGGATACCTGAACATGGAATAGTGAAATTGAACGGTGTAGTCAAGGCATACATATTATGACAAGCACAGTTTCAGGTTGTTCTCTAGGTCTACCTTTAATGATCATGGTAGCGTTCGCAAATATCAATTTCTGCGGATCATACACCGAATGTTGCTCGACACGTTGAGGCTTTCTACGCGTCCGAAATCTCTATATATAGATCTAACCTCATGATTGTTTTACAGGTATCCGTCCTCAGCGGATCTGGTCACAGTTGCCATTGGTTTACGGGTACTGCTGACCCCTCGCAATCGGTATTCAAACCGTTTATCTTCACTGAAGGCGTACTTAACTCAAAACACATTATCGCTGATGGGGACTCTACGACTCTGTACAAATTCCATCAGAAGGCTAAGCACACGAACGAGCTTCAGACGCTCCTTCGAGATCTTGAACAGCGATGTATTGCGGTTAGTATACAGAGTAGGTCAATGATATTATTACAGAAGAGCGAGATGATTAATTAATGGCAGTCAACACTTCTGTGAACGAGAGTAAACTATGTGATGTTCAAATGAGTAAGCATGACATGGCCATTATAACCACGGTCATATCTGTCTATCGGCTAAAATACAGCGTTTCTCGCTTTTATTTTTATCGACAATATATTTTTTTCTCAAGCGCTTTAGCTAGATTTTCTCAACATTATGTTCTTATTATTACCTTCACTGGAACAAATGTAAAGGTTGGTTTTTTGGTTGAATCATACATTATAAATAATAGATTTTTTAGATTTTAGACCAATATTTTTTAGAATAGTGGAGGACAATTCAGAGTAATTCAGACCATATTCAGTTTTTTTTTTCGCTGCTAATTAGTGCTGTTCGTTGAAAACTCGATCATCTTTAAATGCGTTCGCTAAAATAACCACAGGAACCGTCACTATATTCATGACAGTCGATATGGCATTTGCAGGAGATCGATCAGATCCTTGATTGTGGAGCCAAGCCCGAAGAGCTTCGAGAACTTTTTAAAGACGCTTGTGAGACCGAGTACAAGTTTTACAAATAGGGCTCTACTATGAAGACTTGACGCGCATATGAGTGGTCCCCACTCTGGGCTAATATAAACAATCAAGGACAATTTCTTTTCAACTGATAACTACAACTAATAGTGTCTGTCGAGAACAACCACTTTAGAAGCAGTCGACGAAAATAAAAGGACTATAACATAAATTTAAATATACTTAGGTTTAAATATATAGGTGGTGCAATGCTCAATAGAAATGCTAGCTATTTTTTGCCGATAACATACGACGCCACAGATATTGAATATGGTTAGGTAGCGTTTGGTAAAACTAAATTTAAGTAGCATTTATATTATCGACGGTAGACAGGCGGGTTGAAACAACTTAGCGGAAACAAAATGCGACAGAATGCCTTATTCACTTTGGGCAGTTTGGGTGATAGGGTACGGCCAGCCCGTTCTCAACAATTGCCTGTATTCTTTGGCGAAACCCAAATTCATAGACAATTGCCCGGATAATATTATAGACCCTATTGCCTTCCAAGTCTTCTCCCGTTAATCTTGCGAAATCCAGTAAGATCTAAACGAAGCAATTATGACACAAGGTAATAGAGCCAGGTTTAACAAAAGGGCAATGTATTTGTCATATTTGCATGTTTAGACCTCCGGTGGTGTAAATCTACCTTAAGCAATCCGATGTCTCTCCGCCGTTTAGGTTTACACTTGAAGCCTACATTGAGTTACGACCTACGTAGTAAATCTGCAACAGTTTTCGGCATTGTGCACTATTTGGGCAATCTTAAAAAACTAAGACACAGATATAGCGAATGCTTTATTACAACGACGAAAGGGTGCAAATATGCCAGCCTTTAGCATTATTACTGTTATTACTGGCATTGGGAGTTGAGGAGCGCGGAAAGCACGGGCGTAAAGTGCCTCTTTATCATTGCCTCTTCTTCATAATTACATCTTCTATGTATGCGAGTAATTTGTTTCACTCTTCAATATCAACAGTATTAGAATAATTTTATGTTAATCATGTCGAAGCGGCAAGATTCGTAAACATTCAACATGGGCTAAGTGGTGCTTATGGTGGCATCAAATCAAATAATATAATTTTATTAATAATATGTTGAACTGCGATGAACGACTTGCACTAAATGAAGCTTTACAAGGTAGCGCGTGCCGGGCAACCTTTACTCAGAATATATATGTTCTGAGTATCTATATATATATATATATATATATGACTAAGCATTTTCTCTGGGTACTGGGTTATCTATTGTGGTATTAGAAAAATGACATATTTACGTTTATTGGTAATTGCCGCGGCGATGACGAACGTGTTCGCCATGTCTTCTTCATTTGCTGATCTTCGGCTTCATCATTTCGTCTTTATCTGGATAGGTTTGCGTGCAGACTATATTAGTTAACTCTTTGGGAAATATATACTATTTTGTGTGATTTCACATTCCGTGATTGTTTAAAATTGAAATAAAAAATGGATCTGATCATGCTGGCCAGATAGCCTCCGCGCGTTCTCATTGAGCACAAAATCGACCAAATAGGTATTTTACTTTTTACCAAATTTGCCTTTAGTTTCTGACTTGAATACGTATTTAAAAACTCAGCCAAGCAAGCAATTGTATGTTGTTCGCAGTCCATCTACAATCGACCATGCTCAATTATCTTATCACTGAGAGCGTCAGCTTATTACTCGGGCATATCCGTACAGTGTACATCAAGTCGAACATCAAATCTATTTTTCGGGTAGATTTTGAGTGTATCTTAATTAAACTAAAATAAATAAAACTATAAATTTGTTTCTGTAAAGAGGTGATATGCAAATTTTACTATAATATCACATTGGTTTCACATGGAAGGGAAAAGGACTTTTACATTTGGAAGTTATCAACGAGCGATACTTATACTAGTGAGTAATTATTTAATCCCGACATCGATAAATGAAGATTTTCATCATTTAACACAACAGTAGATTGATTTATTTCTTCACAGAAATATTTATTTTCAATACAGAGTAAATGTTATGTGTATTTACAAGAGAACATGTAAAACTTGTCACAACGAATACTTACTCGATCATACGCGTCAAATCAACAGCTAACTAAAAAGTGTCAGTGATTCCTACAGCAATCGTAGAATTCATTGGTTCCTTGGCTTCGGAAACACTGTCTCGTTCCTGCTTCTTAAGCGTCAAAGCTGACGTCTGTTCAGCAACTTGGTTTTCGGCGTTTTCCTGTTTGTTCTTCTGCAGCCGCTTCAGATTTGAAGGCACCGATTCAGTCGTTACCCGAGTGTGGGAACCAGAAGAGGCATGGAAATTAGATAACTCAGGCTGAAGCTGACTAGCCACATGAGGACTCTGCCGAAAATGGGCTGGTCTCCTGAAATGAACACGGTACCCCCAAAAACCTGCTAAACCTTTGTCGAAGGAACGGTGTTGATGTATAACCTAAATTGTACACAGAAGCACGTGGCAAATTTTGTTGACTGATTTTTAATTAACTGATGTACGAACATAACATAAACGTCGTGAGGTGGTCCCGAGCCCAAAGTCTAAGATCCTAGATTCGCTTCAGATGTGTCCTGGTTTTGCCTGACACGACAATCCATTGTTTATCTTGGCTTTTCTGGCTGTTTTTTCTGCAAAATGTTTTTTATACATCTATCAAAAAAAAAAGGGTATATAAAATGTGTGGGCTAGCTTTTGAAGAAGTGTTTTTGAAAGATTTTTTCAAAGAAATAGTGTATGAGAGTTAACAAAGTGTGTTATGTATGAAAAGTTTTTATTGGAACCAACTGGTCGACCTCGACTGAAAAATGACGTTTTGGGCCGAAAACACCATCCGAAGAAAAAGCAAAATGTGGTAAACGCGCGGTAAAAACTGATAGCTTTTAGCGACGCGAATTGAAATGCAATGCATAATCTACGGTTGAGGTCACTATGACTATCCTATGGACAACTTTTTGGAAAGTTTTTAAAAAACCTTCACTGCCGGACAAATATAAGACTAAAACGTAAGACAAAGATATTAGGATCCGTGACTTTAAGCCCAGGACTACTAGTTAGTAATTCTACTATATATCTGTCGTTGCTGCCTAATTATGCTATCGCTCTATGCAGCGAAACGTATAGCACGAATGAAGATCAATGATAAAATGTAATGTTTTTAATTTGGTTATTCAATAAACAAATCGATTTACTAAATATATGCGAAACGAGGTAACTTAACTCGAAATAAGTAAGAAATTGCAAACATAATGTTAATCGCAGCTAACTTATAGAGAACTGCCTATGAATGATATTGATTGTGCCGACTGTGGGTAGAGAGGACAAATATTTCGTACCTAGTGAACTCGTCCATTATCTTCTCCATTTGCCTACGTAACTGCTGGTGCTGGGAAGCCATGCTTTCAGAATGATGGGGTTTGTTGCGAATTTGTGTTGGGCTCTGTTGGATTGAGCCTAAGTAAGCTGGAAGGCCTTCCTTGGGGCGCGGTTGTGACGGTTGCTTGAGATACGCAACTGCACCATCGAGAAGCATACCTTCCATCGCTAATAATGAAAGCCAATAGCATAATCAGTTGAGTGCGCACAGAAACCTCTAAATACTTGTTCCTATAAATGCGCCCCCGCACCATAAAATGCATATAATGGTTTAGCGATAAGACGGCAATAAGCTTCAGCATAGGGTCGAACGATATCTCAAAAATGTTTCATTTACTAGCACAAGTGGCTATTATTTTAGTTCGGCATCCCGATCAAAGACAGTTTTTAGGCTGACTGAGCTATCGCTTAAAAATTTACATGCTTTACCGTGCATCGTCGAAACTATGATACTTTCAATATTACATCGAGCTGTACGTAAACCGTACTAGGTTTTCCCAGTACTTCAGCAGAAGTACTGGGAAAACTGTTGCACAAGCTGTATGGCTCCTGTTGGAACGTTGAATGTCAACTTTTTTTTTACATGCATTTTACATGTATTCGTATAGCCCCTTTAAGAAAGACATTAGAGCTATTATTAATATTAAAGGCTAGGTTTTCTGGTGTTATTTCATAGTTGAACATCTATTGGAGCCATAACTCATTGAAAAGAACTGAAAGGATAGCGGACCGCTGATCCAGGTGAGTTAGAGAATATGAACAGGAAGTCGTCTTTCTTTAGTTTGAACGCCAGCTTAAGGTACATAAATGACACAATTCAAATAAAAATTACATGTTAAGTAATCTATACAAGTAGAATGTATTACTTACCGGGATGCATTCCAAGGTTGAATGGGGGCATGCTGTTGTACATATCCATCATAGCAGGTGGGCTGTTAGGTATCATCAGAGGTTTGAGCATAATTTTTTGAGCGGCAGAAGTTAACCTCTGACCCATAGTACCCTGATTAATATCATGGAATTTAGCTATGTTAGCAGTTAATTGGTTCCAGTTACCCCGTCGTGTACCGCCCAACCCAAAGTTGCCCATGGCATTTCGCATTCGTCCAACTAGACTCTGGCCAACTTCATTCGCCCCATTTTGTGAGGATGGCAACCTCATCGTAAACTGGACGGGTGACATTGGAGTATGGTATCTCGGCAGTATCATCTTCGGAGGGACACCCGATAAATACACACTGCCTCGATTGCCTTGGTTTTGGGTTAGCTCGGAGTACAAAATCGATTCCATCTTCCCTATAAAAAGTCAAATTATTCAACTGAAAACGCGCGAACTCTCACTTTAACATTCTTCCAATACACTTAAGTATATATATATCATCACCACAAAAGGCTAGCTTGGGACCATTATTATTCAGGGCTTTATAAATAAGCCTACAATTTTGAGCTGTCTTGATTAGTACACATTGTCCATCAAACTGAGGGTCTTTTAATTCACACATAAAGGCACAGATTTCTGATCTATATACAACTGCTAGATGAAACGAATGTGTCAATCGCGTAAACCTAAATAAGAAGTTATAGAGACTACAACGTAAAGAAAGTGTCCTTATAGCATTTGATTTCAGCTAAAGGCTGCGCACCAAATACAGAATGATAATTACGACCCTTACCATGGTTCTGCGTCTTGTTCATAGTTTTTGCTGGCAATCTCGTGAGATTCCTGGATACCGCGATCATATCCAAAGGTTTCATAATATTAAGTTGGTCTATATTCGCGGGCTTCATTTCTGCCAAAGACTCGTTCTTATTCTTCTTTTTACTTTCGTCATTTTCAAAATCTTTTTCCATATTTTGTGTAATAGGACGTTTCATCTGCTCCTCGCTAATCTCACTTACGTCATCATTTTTATTGAGCTGCTTAATTTTTTCCACAGCGGTGTTTAAATTTTTTATTCCACCTCTAGAAATGTCCATGCTCCCTTCGATTGTACTGGGGACGTCCACAGATGGCCCAAAGTTTCCCATCTCGCCATTCATAGCGTTCATTGCAAATCCACTATTCGTCGGTTCTATTTCAGCTAACGAGAAATTCTCATTGAAATCCAGATTGGTCTTCCTAAGTCCCCGCGAAGGAACGGGCCACGGCCTGGCCTTCAGTGCCCCCGTCTTCATGACTGCTGTTGCCTGACTGTATAGGTTGTTTCGCATATTATTCATCGACGATTGCTTGTACATTTCGTGATCTAAAAGTGTTAAGAAAATAAACAAAAATTAGAAGCTCAAATTCTACATTTGTTATCGAAGGCCAAAAACGTACTGAGATCTGTCGGTTGGGTAGACTTCATCTAGGAACATAGTAAATGGACCCCAAAACCGATATCTAATCAGCCATGCTCGCATCACTGCAAAACTATGAAGTGTTTAGGTATTTTTTGATGCCAACCATCTTTCGTCGTAGTCATATTACTACCAATAGTTCGTTAGAGCCCTATGACGAACCGACTGTAGTGCCATATTTGAGTTTACTTCGATACCCTTTGTTCTTATAGATATTCATAGATGATTTATACATGTTTGATTACCTTCCCTAATATGCTATTTAAGTTATCAAATTCGGATAACGCCAAAGGAATTATAATTGTAGATTCACCTTAATCAGTGGATGTTTGATCTAACTCACCAGAAAAGTGGGCAAGATGATCGTGATGGTAATGATGATCATGCTCATTATCATCATCATCATCAGCATCATCATGATCATGATCAAAATGATGATCTTCAATATGGGGGTGATGCTGAACGGAATGATCGGGATGTCTAGTGATCCCTGGTTCCTCATGATCTGGATGATGATGGTTCTGATGGGCGGGATGATCGAAATACGAATACGCTGCCTTGTAGTAAGGGGCGATGTGCTCAAGTTGATACATGTCCATTGGTGATTTCATCATTTTCATTCGCGTTATCAATGGTATTGGCATGGTCGTCTCCACAGTATCCGTATTCATTCTAATCAAACACAATGGAAATCAACTGTATTACTTAGACAATGCACAGTCTTTACTATCTAACTACTTTTGGTAAGTCGAAGTTAGCGGTGTTACGTTTAGAGCGCCGAAATCTGTGACTTATAGGGATTACCATTGGGGCTAAATAGACCTCTATTTGTTCTAGCACATTTGTTCGCATTCGAAGCACTATTTGTTCACCACAACCAACGACTCTATAGCATATGCATATCCAATGTATGAATCCGGTTCTTCTCGATAACAACTAAAGGCCGCCAAAACGTCACTCACGGAAGAAGCTTTAAGGGTGGCACTGAGTAGGACACGGAATATTTGTCGTAGAACGGCTGATTGTTCAGCTCCTTCATCATGGATGCTAAGAGTTTCGTTTCAAGAAGCTTTTTCACGAAAGCATTGCCAGGCGTTGAAAACTGACTCAGAATTGCCATCGTCACAATTACAACGAGCAGTGATGATGGTATGACTGTTACCGCCATCGCCACGGTTAAGAATCGTTGGCATACGAAACGCCTTAGCAATTTATAGTGCGTCTGCGCTTTCTAATGCGGTGTGATAGAAAAGGTGGATTCGCTTGTGCTCGCTTAAGTGTCATGATAGGTGAGTGAACGCACCAACGTGCTCATTGGCAATGCACGGAGGTAAAAACGATATGAATAAGTGAGCGGCGGAAAGAAGTCGCGCGACCGCCCGCAGATATTTTTTTGGATTTCAATTTGAATCAGCTAGAACCAGGTTACCAGGTGACGCGGCGCCTTCAAATAAAAGTCAAGCCCCATCGACATTGACTCAACTCCACGCTAGGCGAACAAAATGTTTCTCTTCATAAATCACTATAAGCTAATGCCTCAATAACAAATAAGTCTAAGAACATTAGTTATAACAAAGTGCAGCACAAAACCAATAATCAGTTTTAAAGAAACACAATTTTAACACGCATTGTCGGTTCAACTGTACGGTTCAGCACGCAATTACGTACGATCTAAGTATGTATATTTTACAAGACCTACTGAGTATTATTGCATGTTGCACGATCAAATGCGCGATGGAAGTTCGCTGTATCGAACCGCTACATGTAGTTTGCGTACTTAGTAGTTGTGGTAGTAGCAATCACTATACGGAAGTTGTCCTGTAATAACTACATAACTTACGGTACTACATAATTATTAACGTTATGCATCTTACAATTTATACAAATATGCAATTAAGGGTTACAAAAATGATTCGATTATAGAAGAAAATGCTGAGCACGAAAAAACTTCGCAGATTATGTAACCGAACTTTTTGAAGACATTTTTAATTATTGATATTGAATCAATATGTGCATATGAATGTATACGGGGGCGGCTTTGGGCCCATTTGGTCGGTATAGCTTTAAATAAGCGTGATTATTTACGGATAAACGCGACTTCCTCTGTTATAACGAGCAGCGGATTTTGCCTTAGTGTAAATAAGAACGCTTTACTGAAGAAAGTCATATGAGAATAAATCGTTTATTGGCAGTCAAAAAACTATTGCGTTCAGAGGTATCGGAACGAATCGTCTGTCTTTGTCATAGTACAGATTCAGACCGGAACTTCGAAGTAAATACTGATAAATTCCATGTATAGCCCGTTTACAACTGCGCTCAGGATTTAGTTTAAGATCGATAGCTGGACCCGAAAACAAAGAACATCTATCTGCATATACGAATGTTTAATCTCGGTAGCGGTTTTTTTTTTATCATCACACGAGTACAAGTTGCACAAATCGACAGGATAATGAAGACAGTTTCAATGAGGAGTGGCAAGCCAACATCCACGGTAGTATTTATACATGCACGTGTCCGTGTCTGTCGAATCGTCTCGATTCAGATATCCAAGCAGCGCCGCGTTTGCGTACGATAGAATAATATCGTCGCTTGCTAAACGGGTGCCATTTTTTCGTTTGTTCATATCGTACATTAATTGTGCTGGGAAAACGACCTTCGCGATCTTGCCTAAGAATCCATAACGTTTCGGGCGTTGGTTCAATTTGCAGATGAAAAGCTTCATACATTCGCGGCCATCTTTCATTATAAGCGGAGGCACTCTGGTGAGAACTATATCAATCCAGGTAATCACGTGTTCCATGGCGCTATCCTCGATGACTCGGGGGGATAAGAAGCTATTCTCCGTATTTGAAAACGATATGTCACGACGGTTTCGAAGTACTTCGCCTGCGCCAGGCAAAAATGAAAGAGGCTGCGATAGCCAGTCAGGTTTAGAAGTAAAGAGCGGCATAGTTAAGGTAATGGTGCCAAGGATCACCATGCCGAGTAGGGCAAGATTACCGAAGTTTACTGTGCGAAATTGTTCGAGGTCGGGATGCTCTCGTCCATAGCCTGGTACAGTAACGGAGAAGAGTGGTATGGAGAAGCCAAACGACGCATTGCCAGTATTCTCGAAGAAGTACGCATCGAAGAACTCACTTTTTCCATTAGAGCCGCTCGTTTGCGGAGGTGCTAGCTGATAACGGGCCTCGCTTACTGCACAGAAGGCCACCACAATACTCATTACATGCATCCTGCTTGACAATGACCAATGAGCTATTCAGTCTCACTGTGTCCGATCTGTGAAGGTCGTTTGCAGGTTTATCGATGCACATTTTCATGCTTGAACCCTTAAACCTGATTATAACGGATCTTTCAATTTGTCGAAGAGAAAGAAGGATTCATTCTGTCTGTCTGTTTGTTTGTCTGTCTCTCTCGCTCTCTCTCCCTCCCTCCCCCTCTCTCCCTCTCTCATCTGGTCCCAGAAGGATACGAGCTATCGAAAGCTAGCAGAAACTTATACACATTGTAGGCAAAAGGTGTGCAACTAACATAAACAACAGGCCATATGCAAGGCGGCGTGAGGGGGGGATGTCGCGAAGAATACCAGGGCTGCTGATGAATTCCTGGCAAGCTTCAGGGAGGAGGAGGATACGTATGTCTAGGTAAAATTGAGGTGTTTTGTCTAAATGAAATAGCGACCGCTGTAGTTCGCGATCGCCCAAAATGCAGCAATGCACAAATTAGTATGTTGACCTTTATTAACAAACAAAAGCACTATAATTAAAAATTGACACAGGTATTCACCTTCAATGTACTCCTAATTACAACCTAAATGCATTCGAACATTTTTTAACAAACAAAAAATAAACTACATTCGAAGATTTGCCTTGTGGAAGCACAGTTTTCTGGCTGAGTTGGCCAGAAATCCAAACTTGTGATATTGAAAAAACACAGATTTGACGGATAATTTTTTGTTCGTGCCATAGTATTTATGAAATACTCTGAAATTTATATTTTCTATTAAAAAATATATTCATGACTGGCTATATTAAATGAAACTGCCTGGTGATTAGCGAAAGATTGCAATCAACGGTTATTGGACATAATGATCATTGCGAAGTCGTATTCCTTGAAGTTTACTTATGGACTTTTGGCTGATTTGCAAATGCGGAGGTTGCTGCACCCAGTTTGTTTAAGCTAACACTTCGGAGAACGGACCCTAAGTTACCTCTATCGGGGCTGAAACAAAGACAGCAAGTTCTATTAATGTCTATAAAACTCTATACTAAACGAGTACTATATATGTATACATATAAACAACAATAACTGCTATAAAAAAAGCTCAGCGAAAAAATAAGAAGTATACAATTATGCAAGAATATTTTACAGTGATATTTTAGAATCGATGGGCGGAATTGGACTGCAGGAGGACAACCTAGGCTATGATTTCGCGCTAACATTGTTAGAGTTATGCGCTTTCAATTACTCCAATATAGCTCTTTGCTTTCGCTTTTGGGGTTCTGACTTCTTAGAACTCTGCAAAGGCTGGTTGTTTCTTTACGTGGACAGGCCATGTCCCATATTTGACTATGCATAATCTCAAATAGCGTTCCGTAATTCGTATCAGGGTGCGTCGTTGGGATGTCGTATTAGGTCGTCGACACGGATAGATAAGTTGCGTTTCGTTAGGCACAATATTCAATTTCTAAGATGTTCACAGTCCTATTTTGTTGTGCAGAACATATGGATTCTGTTATAACATGAGAGATTAGGTAAAAAAAAAAGTGGTATTATGACAAGTCACTATAAAAAGTAAATTATGTTTATTTTTGCAATTATTCATGTTACCATTATGTTATAAAACATTAGAAATGTGTGAATTTTTCGAAAGCATCTTATTATTACCAAAAACACATAAGTATTATATGACGAGAAACCGGTATTCGATTTTTATTAGGTAAAGAAAATCTCTTAACAACTATTTTCTTCTGAAACGTTGGAGATATCTGCGGCGATAGCTGCTTCTGTGTATGAAAATGTTTTGGAAAATCTCAAACCTGCAGATTGATATTTTTTCATACCGCCCGTATAAATTCTAATACTGAAGATTTAAGTGATAGGGTAATTCGTTTTCCCTGGTAAGCACTAAACGCTAAATGCGACTTGATGTAAGTTTTCTTTTGCAAGCTGGAGTTTTTCTGTCTCTCGCCAAACTTACACGAAGTCGCATTCGGGTGCTACGCACAATACCATCTTGGCTAACTTTCTGATGATCTATAATTTAGAGCTAGATATCTAAAGAAAAAAAGGTCGGCCAGTTGACACTGAAATTTCTCTATTTGTAGTTTACTATTAGTATCTCATATAAAAACAATTGGCATTTACGGCTTTCCGTTGCCGTCATTCGACTGTCCATCTAACTGTACCGTAAATTTTGTTGGCATATTCAATACCAGACTTACTATATTTCAGATAACTCTTAATATGTACTACTCATATTAGCTTCTGCCGTGAATAAACCATCCCTGAATTATCCTTTAGATGAACGAAATATTGCCCTCAGCCACAGCCGTAACGTGGAACTTATAATTCGAGTTAATTCCAAATCTGGGTCCTGGCTAACAGTTCTCCCTATATATTAAAGCCTGTTCCCGTAAAAGATTTTCAGCAATGAAATCTACATTTCTCATCGACTGTTCGTCATACCACTAACCGTAGTAGATTGGCATAACATTACTAAACACGGAATTCCGGTACGCCGCAGAAGGGGCTGGCTACAACTCTTCGGTAGCGGGAAATCGTACATATACATACTTGTCACATGGCTTCCATATCGTAAGGCCACATTCATCAAAATCAAAGAGGAAAAGTACGCCTATGCTCCTAAAATTCGCTCACAGAGTAGGCAACGAAGGAAGGAGAAAAGGGGGCAAAGGGTGGGCTAAAAATATTCTGCATGATTAAGAAGAATATGCAGCGACACCTATATACTAGCAGTCAACACCAGACATTAATTTGTTTCCAGGGCCGATTGCTTTCAGTGGTAAATGCTCCATTACGCCAACTGTACACAGCTATAGAAAAGTCGTTGTTGCAATAAGCAACCACATACACATATTGAAACGTCACAAAAGTGACCACGACCACTTTATAGCGTTATTACGGCAAACTTCCCTGCCGAAGATGCGCACGACTAATAGAAACTGCTCACCCTATTAAGTTCCTAGATCATGGCGGGGTTACGTTTCTAGTGTCGTATCTAAAGGGCTTGAAATTACGTCGGCATATGATATAAGTAGGCAGAAACCCATGTTCAAACGAAAAACCAAGGCTTTTTTAAAACAATTGTTATCTTGTCCGTGGTTCCTTGAAATAAATTCTAGTCGCACGCTCTGTTTCTCTGTGTTTTACTTTCACTGCTCACACACACACACACACATATATATATATATATATATATATATAACGAATTACTGGTTTATTACTCAATTTTTGTATTTGTGTTTTTATTCGTTCAATAATCACATGGTCGTTGTCCGTGTCATCCATTTTGTAGGTTACCTGTTAAGGGAAATACGTGTTGAAGCCGCTGATGGTCGCAGAATGATTTTCCGAAAGCAAATTGACCAGCCCATTGCGCATCTTTTTTACGTAAAGTTCCTTTGGTGGCATAAAGCAGACGAAAATTAATCGCTTCGTCTGATGATAAAAATACCGCTTATAAGCTAAAATGATTATCTATTGCCAAGCGTCTCAATACGATATACTTGAAAAAACAAAACATCTTATGGAGAAGTAGTTATGATAAAGCAGAAGTGAGTCAAGCTAATATCAGAGGTGGGTGCATTATACTATGCTAGAGTAAACGTATCAGGCACTTTTTGTTTATCGCAAAAGTTAATTGTGATGTAAAACGCAACTATTTTATCTTACAATTAACAAATACTACATTGAGCCCTGCGTGACCGACTGTGTTGCATAGCGATTGACGGGGGTTCGATTATAGGTTCACCGCTGCTTGTTTGGGCTATACGACACATGTATATGTCTCTCGGCAGAAACAGCGCAACCTGCTGTTCTGTTTACGCCCAATGAATCAGTCGCCTGGATTACATTGTTCATTGCTCTATCATCTTGCACGTTCCGCAAGGATATTTAGGTTTGTGCGCGGATCCACTAACCTTCAGTGCACGTCGTGCATCGTTTCGTGGAATTGCTTATGGGAAACGTTTGGCGATACATACGTCTATTGGACCTGGCTGTTTACGTTTTCTATTCTAGCCTGGTACGATGAGTGCATGTGCGTTAGGAAGTGTCGTCATTTACGCATTGTGGCAGGCAGGCAGGCAGGCAGGCAGGCATTACGTAGGCAAAGGTTACGATGATTTAAGTGAAATTTGTGAAACTTGTGCTAGCGCTTAGAAGCCGTTGCAGAACAAGTTTACAGCGCTTTGTTTCGGTGTGAGTGAACCAGTGCAACAGAGCGACTACATCAAGAAAGAACGCCACACCGACGATTCTCTTAAGGTACGAGATTTTTATAGCTATTTTCATTTGATTTTTCCTAAAGTATTTTCTTTAAATAGACCAAGTCGTGTTATTATGAATTAAGTGTGCGTCGATAAGTGTCTCCCTGAATCGTGCAACCCAATGGGCCTTGTTACTCACTGTTCTATGCGTGCTCTACAGTGTCACACATCACTGATAGTATCAATTCCCTTTTCCTAAAATAGTGTGATAAATATAACTCTGGGGTGGGACTTCCGGCTTGTCTTTATAACGTCATCTCATTTCAACATCTAATGAGGGAAGTATGTCAACGCAGACATTATTATGTCATTAGTGTTATTCCTTTGGTGTGACATGCATTTACCATGGAGGCACTATCCGACGAAAGAGGAACGTGGCGCATGACTTAACCCCGTTTTGAGTTTCGGCAGTGACCAAGCGCAATTACTGTATAATGCAAACGGGCACTATCATAGATTTCTATATAGAACAACTCAGTACTGGCCCTAATTTAGCCAATTGCTATTCATTTCAAGCATTTATTTATGTACTCTATTAAGGATTAGAGCTTCGATGTTGCGGCAGATAGGTGTGGTGTGATAGGTGTGGTATAAATCGTGCTACTCTAATCATTTTGAACCAATCACCAATGGAACGATGTTGGTGTCCAATAATCATTTCATATTATTAGATAATGATCAAAGGAAAATTGCTACAGCCAGTGATTAAATACATAGAAAATTAGAGTTTATTTAGTGTTCAACTTATTCAGTTTAATTCGTGTACTTGGAGCAATGAATGTTAATCCACCGTTTTTATGTATAGAATGAAAATATCATCACGTTAAACAGTAATTAAATAAAAGAGACCTTTTGAACCCCATCACAGTTTCGACTTTGTTCCTTCAATGCAGTTGATCATTGCGTTCTTAGTGACGGCAGATAATGACGCTGCGTCATCCGTAGCCGCCTCGTCCGACTGCGTTGTCCTCGTAGCGCAGCGCTGGGCAAATTCGCTGATACGCGGTTTAGGTTTCTTGGATAATTCTCTCTCATTTCTTTTTTTATTGTAGAGAACAAGTAATCGCCGGAAACAGTAAGATCGTTCTAGATGCCCGGTGGAAGCATAAGCAAGCATCCCGCTTCAATTTTTCTATATTGTAATAAGCTTGTTTTTAGTTTGATGTTAGCCGGTTAACTCGTGGGGAAACGTCTAGTACATTGAAACAGTTTTAGTTCCGAATATTTAGGTATGTTCTAGTTTTTCTCATAAGCATTCTCTGTTTGAAGATACATATTGTGGAGGGCGAGGCTTAAAACATTGACTTTCGACAATTTTAGTTCAAAGTTTAGCCGTTTAAGCTACCATAGATCCCTTATCTGCAATGAAAGACCGATAGGTGGAGGGACATCATGCGCTGATGGTTCGATTGTACTTTCAAACAACTCCAATTGATGATGATGGCGGCGCTGTCGACAATCGTGATGACGATGATGATCTATGTTGACTCGAGTCGGTGCAGGTGCTCAGTTCGGTAAAGCTTGAAAGAGATACAGATTCTGAGATTTCGGCTAGTGTGACGATGACGATGATGATCTATGTTCACTCGAGTTGGTGTAGGTGCTCAATTTGGTGCAGCTTGAAAGAGTTATAGATTCTGAGATCTCGGCTAGTGTGACGATGACGATGATGATAGCACGGGAGTATTTTACATTCGGAAACAGAAGTCGCAAACTGGACGGTTGGACACTTCTCAAGAAAGCCGTTCGAAGCTTTCTACCTAGCATAACAATCCAGCAGCGGAAGAGGTTCAAATATATTTCATGTTAGCGTTCGTACGTTTTCGAAAATTTACCGCTCGGAAATATAGGTGTCTATGTGTGCATATATATTTGCTTATTATTAGTTCTTCAGCGAAAAGGCGTAAAAGGCTTACATGCTAAAACTGACATAATTAACAACTGCTACCTTTACGCAAGTGAAGTTTTAAAGGTAGCAAATATGTATGAATGAGCGTGAAACTTAATATCATTGAATCCGAAATAATCAAGTATATAGTAAACATCAACACATATGAGAGCTCTATGGCAAACGTTCAGAAGACGCTATTCAATAATAGTCATGCACTGCCCCTAAAATAAATTCAATAGATACAGGCAAATGTTCTTCTTACAAAGTAAAAAAAAGCACAGTTTTTTTTTAAAGAAACATTTCGAGTATCCGCCCGCACCGGCTTCCTGTTTGTTACGCAAAATGCACCGTTTCAAGCGATCGGGCATTTTCTGCTGGTATCTGACACCAACACCTTTGCCCTTTCCTCCTGGTTTCTTTTTTTGTTTATATCGGATGGGCTTCTGCTCGACTATGAGTCGCTGCAATGAAGACGTGTGCAGATTCTGCAAACAGCGAATACTGCATGCCAAAGCCGTAACGCTTGCCCGGTCCTGACACGGAATAAACTACCGTTATTTCTGTCGCTCTAGAGTGGTTTAAAAAAAATCGGATTACACGCCTGTAAATGTAAACAACATGAAGTGAAGACATTATTTTTTTTTTTTTTTGGAATTAGTGCACTATATAATAGCTAGCATAAATAAACAAAAAAAAAAATAAAATAAATAAATAAACATGGGTGTATTGACGTTGCGCGTCGCTCTAGGTAGTGTTTAGATCGAGGTTGGCTTAAAATTGCAGGCGATGCATAGTACTAGCGAGCGGCAAACTAACGATGATTTATTTTCGTATTATAAATCAAACACGCCTGTTATCCGAATGCTGTAGATAGGAGAGTTAGTAATTACTATAAAACGGCTCAGTGCTAAAGGACGACATTTCTGTAAAAGCGATGCTCATATTTTTTCGCTTTAGGCAAGCTATGGCAAGGCAATCGCGTGCCTCGGTCGCTAGTAACAGTACAGCTCCTTACTCGCTCAACGAACTCTTCTGGGGGCTTTTTTTTTCAAATACAATAATTTGTGTGTTTCAAAACTGCAATTTCGTAACAACGAAAAACAACAACTCCTTTTTAAGGTCGTACAATTCAGCGCTTGCTTTTAGAACAATAAATGATTTATCATCTACTAGATGTCGAAATACAGTTTAGGACAATGAAGAGGGCCTAGTGCAGTTACTGCTACCTACAGTTTCAATAGTAGTATTCCATCTGAACAGATTCACCGTTTTAAACATAGAAATCAAAGTTTAATCGAGATCTGACGTTGTGCAATGCACACAGCATCGGAAGCTGTCATCACCGATCACCGGTTAAGGTAGTCACAATCGACGTTTAAGTGAAGATTTACTCATATTTGAAGTTCAGAGATAAATGAGGATCGCAAAGCGTACATCGATAGACGTCTGTTTATTCCTGTTCACAATGTACATATGGGCACTGTTGCTGGCATATATATTTTAATCCGACGTAAATGTGACAGAATTTCGCTATCAGATACATAATTACCATTTATATTAACGTTATTAGGCTTTCTAAGATATTTTTTCTAAGATATTTCTAAGATAAGAAGATGAATGACGCTTATCATAGTGACACTTTCACATTTAGCCCAACGCTGTTAAAGTTCTTGGACAATACGTAGCCTTTGTGGCTAATGATTTTTTGGCATTATAACTCGTCCAGCAACCGAATGATCGTTAATCCAACCCTCTCGCTATCGGGCGACCCTTTGGACAAAACGTACAACAAAGCAGACATTTACCAATAGAGTTCGAGACTGTTTTGCTGTCCTCGTCGTGCGAGCCGTCACCTTCACGAACCTAGAGGTAAACTTACCCGTGTTTGTGTTTGAATCGATGAATTAACTGATTAAGCGATGGAGGTCGTGCAGCCATCACAAAATATTACCCGACCCCCAATAGCAACCTCTAAAAAACGTTGTTATTGTACAGGCATTACTGTTTACTTGTAAGCTTGGTATTGATGCGGCTTGTGGAACAGGTGTGTAGCATATCTGTCTCATTTCGAATAACTATCCCAGTGCCGGCCTAGTACAGATCGTCGTTAATATGTTTATTCAGCAGCTGATTCGATGACTCAGCAGATTGTGGTGCCGACTTGTGATTGGTCACCTGTTTGTGGCGGCTTCTTACCGGGCTGGCCACGTTGCCTTAAGAGCCAGCAGACTTCGCGCCCTATTCAGCATCACTTCGGCGCTGCGTTCGTACCTCGTTATACCCTCTCCGTGTCAGGCGGCTCCTTTCCTTTCCGCGCAGACGGCAGTTGCCTCAACGGAAATAGCCAGGACTCAGAACTCACGATTTCGGTAAGCAGCCATTTCGATGAACGTCGTGGTTTGATTCAGAAGCGAAGTTCTTTCTCGAAAATTTTTAATTTAGTTTTTTAGATGCTGCGGGCAAATTTTCGTGAGAGAAAAAACAGAATCAAAGGTACCGAGAGGTATATAGCAAACTGGAATTAACCAGACAGCAAAATTGGTCTGAGGTTTCTGTCGTGAATGTTGTCATTTCTTGTGTTGTTGTATGCCAGCGAGATCAATCCTCTACTTTGAGAACATGTCTGCGAATGAAGACGCCACCGGTCCGCGGAAGTAAGTGGGTTTTTTTCAGCGTAAACCCTGTGTAGATTGTTAGGGCAAGATTTTTATCATTATGATTATAATGTCATATACAATCGATCCGTAAAATAAGAAATGGACGGAACTGTGTTGTTTTCAGCCTTCTACGATATATGTTTAGCTAAAAATGTCCCCGACTTACTCAAGTCAACTTACAAAACCACCATTTTGACTCTATGATTCTGGCTAATTAGCGATTCTCGAACGAACCGTTTGTGTTCAGAAAAAGATTTAGGAACACAAAAAATTAGCATTTGACGAAATATTTTGATAACACAAGTTCCGCTGACCAGTATCAAGTTGCGTATTTGATGTAATCATAGTACTTTTCCTGTTCCCAGAACTTCGTCAAACTTTATTGTTGTTTCATCAATGGACTTGGCTCGCAAACGTCATCGATTGATAGCTGAGTCGTACTGAAGATGTCGTTACCCTAGCATTTCTGGCGCGCCGCGAGATATTGGTGGCGTCTTCCTAACATTTAGATGGTTTTTAGACTAACAGGTACTTGTGCTACATGACAGCTTGTTAGTCTAGCATTAAGAATATGCAGACGAGTAGCTGTCAACGCAGGGTTTTTGGAACAATGGCATTTGTTTTTTTTTTTCTGTGTGTGTTCTATTGTGTGAGATCGTAATATTAGCTAGACTAATCAATCATCGATGTGATGTAGTTCTGTGAACCTTGGACAATACCGTATAGCTTATTACGCTGCCTCAAAATAGAATGTCAATGGAATTTCGTCACGCGGTAGATAACAGATTTTCCACTGATAGTTATTAGCCAAGAAGGCCGGAAAAATTCTGACGCAATTACAATCTCTTTAATCTATTATAATTTGTCGACGCGCGCCGGTCGAAGGTCCAGAGGCTCTTCTTTTTCACCTTTGACCTGTTTCCGCTATTCTCTAATGGAACTCCGTATCTTCCTTGTAAGTGACTAAAATTCGTGTTACCTCATGCTATTTTGACCAACAGCTGGCTTGCGTTGAGGTAAGGGACGATCACAGTTACGAAATCCTGTTGCATCCTCCCGTGTCGACATGTGGCGGAAGCCGAATTAGCCTCGGCCTTTGCCGGTGTCGTATGCTGCTGTTGTAAATTAGTTTTTGAGAATTTCTTAATTTCACATATTTTAGTTCCGAAAATCTCTCAATTTTACATATTTTAGCATGTATGCACGTGTCGCACGATTCGTGTATCTTTTCAAAGGAAATTGTGCCCTCATCGAAAACCGCGACGCCGAAGGCACGCTTGATTTGTACGTACAAGTTAGTAAAATGGTTTACTTCGGATGCCTCGAACCATAGCCATTAATTGTGGCTTTCGCAATATCCTACGAGGCACCTAAAGCCTCTGAAGCGATGAGGTGCAAAAGGTCAAGCCATAATAGTTTTCCACGACCTGTATTTGCGAGCACGTAATTAACCTATTCGACAGAGATGAATGACACTCCTACGTGTCACAACCACAAACCTTAGGTCCAAAACCAAAAGTTATTCTCTGTTATTTATTAAAAAAAAATGTTAGCGAGAATAACGTCTGAGTGTCTATGTATAGATTCATGTAGAAAAGCGTTTCTAGGAAAGATGACAGGTTTTTGAATCGCTCTAGAATACCTATTGCTTTGAACTGTCATGTAATCAGCTACGGAGAGAACCACAATTCATAATGATAGATAAGTTAAATATAGTCAGTGTCGTTAGGACAAATTTCTCCATTAGCATGGCGGATGTCTGTGTGTGGTCCCATCGTTTGGACACCCAACGTTTTGTATTGCGTCTATTGTGGGACTGAAGAGCAAATATTAAGAGTGTATCTATCATCAACCATCGCGGCAAGCCATCATAGGATCTTCGCGAGTCAAAACGCCAGCAGTTTGGCGGCTCTTTAACTGAGCTATCGGCTGGCGTCGGTGCGTTAAAAGAACGTATTGGAAGTTTTGCACTATCAAGCATAAAATGACCAAACGAGTCATCCTTCGTATCTGACATGCACACATAGTATATCTAAAGAGTACATATATCTATCAATGCTGTTGGGTGAAGGAAATCTTAGCGTCGTTGCATGGAGGTGCAAAGTTTTCTATTGAGGTTTGCTTTCAATTTCCTGGAGGCACAAATCGTTTTGTCTCATGTAGAATAATTTAACGTAGCGTATATTCGTGGGTTGTTAGGAATTACGTATCCTTGTAAAGCGAAATCTTTCGTTACGACCTGTGCTACCGATCTTCAACATGTTACCTAACCTGAAATCTAAGTAACAAGCATAACAATAGAAGAAAAGTGACGACATACCGAAGCGTCAAAGTTTCATTATGAAGACAATTAGGCCAATTTTGAATTTACACGTATTCTTGTAGTCGGCGCTCTAATTCATACTATCATATAATATTAAAAATCTTAGTCAGACTTGATTTATGCTGGTTCGAGAGTTTTACGACGTCTAGGAGTCTCTTGATGTGTAAGAATCAAATTTAAAGTGCCGTGACTCACTGAGTACTGTTAGCAAGGTCTGTTGGAACAGCCTATTGCAGTAAATGCTTCTACAGGCTTAGTTGGAGGATGTTGGCCCGTTGATTGTAGCAGCCTTTCTCCTATATATAGCTATAGCCCCTTTCTCCTGCTGCGTCGCCCCTTTCACCGTAGCTAGTAAAGCGTTTGGCGATAGTGAGTAGAAAACTGTTTTTAAGGAAAACGATGACACAACATGGCCCCATCCATTAAACTTACACCAACGCGCTCCCTGCTGCTACCGCGAACAAATGAACGATAGCATCATTGAAAGGTAGTGCAATCATTCGTGTGGGACTTCTACACAAAGAACGAGGAACCCATCCGTGAACAGAAATTCGAAAGCCAGTCAGTGTGGGTATAATGCATTTGTTAAATAAGCAAAGACCATGCATATAATCTACTAACAACGTTCCCTCCGTAATTTTCTCTTTTGCTCCACTGCGTATTGTTTGCCCTGTGTTCGAAGTGTATTGAATACGAATAGTAGCCTCGCTTGGGCTTGAAAGGAGCAGTGCTGCGAAATAGCAGTAGTTATACACCTTTCATATTTGACGCGATTGGTTGTCACCTTCGTATCTTTGATGATATCCGCAGTGCGCTCATTTTGGAAAGTGTAGGCTTTCGATAGGAGGCAAGAGGCGTAGCAAATCCGATCATAGAGTCATTTTGAAGTGGTTGAGGGAATACTGTGGTGGACAATGCCAGGTATCGCTGAAGCCAGTAGGGTTGCATCGATGGCAGCTCCGATCATAGTGCTCCTCGATGCCGCCGCCCTACTGCAGTGAATTTTGTTAAAACATTGCCTGCTTGCTTTGTATTACCTTCACGCTACGTGCCTTCTAAAAATGTTGTTTTATTCGTTTCACAGTGGTAAACTTCTCGCGTACGCAGCGACAGACAACAATAGCGACATGGTGGCAGAAACTAATCGAGCGCAGAGTGTGTTCGTGACGCGGGTATCGGCCCTGCCGACGGTTGAGGCAGCACTAGGAATGGCAGTAAGCTCGTACAACAAACTCAAGGAGGTCTCGCCGGGCCCGATCAAAAACGTCATCGAAGTGAGTGAAAAGACGACCCAAATAGCCTTAGCTAGCTCACAACCAATTATCACTAAACTGCAGGGACCTATCCAGTTCGTCGATTCGTTGGCCTGCCAGGGACTCGACCGTGTTGAGCAGACCGTGCCCGCTGTCAAAGAGGCACCCGAGAAGATTTTGTCCGATGTTAGGGTATTTGGAACCAATAAGGTCACGGCTGTACGCAACAGCGTTGTAGACTACAGCAATCAAAAACTGCAGCAGTTGGGTCTCGGTGCAATGGCGCCTGAGCGTTTTGGTGAGTACTGCGAACAGCTGGTGGGTTACGCTACAGTGGCCCTGGCAACGGCGGAAGGCATGCTCGATTCGCACTTGATTGCGCGTGGAGCTGTAGTGCCGAAATTTGAAGACAATGTAAATCTGCGCGATCGGATGGAGCACCTCACGACGAAGGCACGTCTTGCTGTGACCCATCACACGACCGGTCGTTTCCTGGCTGCCCAGAAAGCGGCGTCTGATGGCGTTTCCCGGGTTCTTGAAGCCTTAAGTGTGATCTATGCTCTCAAGGACAACGTTCAAGAAGGAAAATCGGTGCAGGAGTTCGCCCATATTTTACACTTCGATTGGCTGGCCAGTCTTCTTGAAGAGGCTAAGGAGAAGCCTGCCGCGCAACAAGCACTCTTTATCGCACAGGCCGCAGCTCGTCAGGCACAGGATTCCCTGAGCAAGGCTCACGAGGGCGTCAAGGGAAAGCTCACCAGTACCTATGCAGCGGTGCTCAATCGAGCCAGTGAATTAAGCTCTACCCTTCAAAGCACCTCTGTAAACCAACTAAGCTCGCAGGTGATGTCTACCTTAACCGAGAAAGCTCAGCAACTGCAGGACTTGATTCGCCAACTAACTGGTCTCAACCTAAAACAATATCTACCCGAACTTAAAGCAAATCAGGCCAGTGGTGATGGCAGTAGTCAGTCAGGGTCCGGCGGAAGCTAAGTTAATTCCCTATCGTAAGCGAATCAACAACGTGGTAGACGACAAAAGTTTACTTGAAGCGTTACTTTTCATGTTTAATGCTCAAGTGTACATTGGAGAAATGGACCCCTGTTGCGGGACCCCTGTTGCGCCGCTGAGATGAGTACTGTAGCTGCAGCTTTGGAGTGATGCATCAAATCTGTGACAAACCACTATTTATGTATACATAAAAATATATCAAAAAATAAAGTATCATTTTCATATACATCCATATACATAAATATGGATTACTGCATTAGCGCACACAATGCGACTTTATAATGCAACTTTTTTTTTATTGAAGTGGGTTTATTTTTTTTTTAAGAAGAAAAACGCTAATTACAACAAGCAATAGCGAAGTGCCGTGCATCAAAAAAGCTTTTTTAGGGCAAACGCGTTGGAAAGTTGTGGTGTGAAAGGTTGAAGATGACATAGTGTAGAACCTCTTCAAAGAAGATCTTAAAAGTTGATCAACGCTGGAAACATAATAACGATAGCAGCAACTCATAATAAACAGGTTCAATTAGCAGACCGAAATGCTGCGTTTGTTTGTTACATAGAAAAATATTTAATAAAGATGAGGCATATACTACCATCGATATCAACTTGATTTAGCGTTCAGTTATGATAGAATATGTCAAACAGGAGACCTGTAAATGCGTTGCCTCCTCGGTTGTCTTGTTTACTACTTCTGTATAGTTTTAAATTAACACACGATGCCAACGTTTAGCAGACAACAGATTGTGTCAAAATTATTACGAACGATATAGGGTATTTTAATAAGTGTCAACATATTCTAAAGCGGGTATCTACAATACAAACTGTCACATATATAAACAATGTACCAAAATTTTTTCTGAAAAAATTTTTCACCGTTTACATTTTACATCTGTTAGAACAGCAGAAGTTCCACAAATTATTTCAATATAGAGCGGATTTTAACAAGAGCGCCTTAATACCTTTTTCTAGATACATTAAGGATATTTTGATTGACAATACGTATTTTTTGTCGCTATTAATTAACGTTACGGCACTGCAGCATAGCATCATATGAAACAAGTAATAGTATTACGGCGCTCCTGTTACAAAGGCGTTCCAATTCCTTCTTTATTGCAATAAATTACGTATTTATTCACTGCTACTTCAGCAATATGTGGGCTAAAAAAAAAAATTATCAAAAGGTTCTACAAAGAGATTTTTCAAAATATTTGTCCAATCAAACTATATATATACATATAAACGATATCAGAAAAAAAGTTACCTATTTTCGCTGACTCTCGGTCTACATTGAAGCTTCACTTTTTTTTTTGCCCTTTAACCAAACATCTCTATCTTTATTCGCAGGCGTATTTCCCAAATCTCGTTTGAAGACCTTCGGGAACAGCTGATTTAATTTGTATCTAGGACTATAATTACCTATTGGTTTCCAGTTAAGGAACGGAGCGACACTTCATTTTTAGAAAGTGCGTAGGGTTAGCATGCGTACCGAAATACATAGGATTGATCTAATTTGAATAATCTACGTCTTCTTGAACGGCCTACAGTCAACGTACTAAACTATGGCTTTAATCTAATGTCGCGCTATGCCCACATAAGGTACCATAGCATTTCAGCGTTCCCTCGTATTTATCGAGGCGCGTAGTATTGTTTGTATTTTATGTCCGGTACTTACGCCGATAGGCGTTATTCCAGACGGCTGGCTCCCAGCGTAAAAAGGAGTGTACCTACGCCTACCTACGAATTTAGACCACAACGTATATTTGTATTTAGTATATAAACATACTACCTGCTAAATATCCTGTTGTGTAATATCTTAGCACTTATTTTATCAATATATATTCAAATGCATCGCGTTCCACGTCCCGAACGCTTGGGCGTCGTCACAGCAGTCCTCATTATTGCAAACGAAGTGGCATTCTGCATATTTGGACTGAATTTTTCTATCGCAAGGAACATCTACGTACTACACGTTCAATGCATAGCTCGCCGAACATCAAACATATCTATGTAGGTATTCTACGAGCACGTTAATGCATGCGGTTCGTGTATTTTGATCAGATTCGTTCGTATAATCTGATAGATAATTAGCAAACAGTTTGCTATTATCTACTGTTGTTCGGAATAAGCCTAGTAATGTCGGAAAAAATGGCCGCCTTTTACACGCATCTGAGTGTTTAATAAAACTTATGCGCTTTTTCTGCGGAATAGTAGGAGCTCGCCCAAGTTCAATTTGAACTACAGCTCGTTTGATCAGTTACGGGAGATGACTTCTTAATGATGTGACTTCGATTGCACCTGCTATATTTTTAAATGTAGGAATTTTGTCCAATGCAGGAATCGGTATCAAACGTTCCTTTCTTGCCTCAATTTCTTTAGAAGTGGCATTAAATTTCGAGAAGCTTGTTAGGCATATCTAGTCATAAACCTTTGCGCCTTCGAATTGCTTCAAATGGATAGTAAGCGGTTGCTGCCGCAAATAATCCTATAATTTCCCAGTAAACTTATCTCAGAACCATGTAAATAAGCCGTATCTAGATTAATTACAAAGCACTTAAGGTCGTTCTCATACATAGCCACTGAAGCAAAGTGAAGTGCTCGACTGATACATATTTCTATATCATTTTCGTAGGCTTTCGATGTTGTCTTTGTTACACATTGACGTAGAGATAATTTCGAAAAAAATGAAAGATCTTTGCATATAAAAAATCGAAGAACTGCATCCTCAGTGAGCTTAATTCGTCATTCATCACTGCTAATCCCATATAGTGGTACTGTACATAGAGACTGAGCTCTGTTCGGCGTAACAAAACTAAATTATTGTTATAGCTGATGAGTTAGTCTAATGCGAACATACAAGCTGGGATCCTACACAACAGTTGATTAAATAACGAATATTTATTGAGAACCTGCGTATACTGGATAGGAAAGCCGGTTTGATTGCGCTTTATTCAGGTGTGGAAAAATCTTTCGGAGAATCGTTGATTGACGTGTGTAACCATTCAAGGTAAACGGCTACCCGGATATATCTGTCAGGACTATAACCACAAAAACGACTACTTGCCGCTATGCCGACCGCCACCAAGCGTTGCTGAACTAACAACATCGCGGAAGCGCCCGAATCGCCCTGCAGAGGCCAAGTTAGAATTATCACAAATTGATCTTCCTTAATCAAGAACACAAAAAGCTGAACATTTATTAGTTCAGTGCGGACAACAGTCATCATAAACACAATTAGAAGATAATAAGAACTCATAGCTGAGATTGCGAGTGTGTGTCGATGATGCGTCTGCTATAACTGGCAATTTCTCATTATATTGGGATGTGACGCATACATTAGTAATGACCTAAACATATATAGTACATATGGTAATGTAAAATGTGAAGCATAAACTATTTAGACGGCGAAATCAACTTGCACCCTAGAAAAGCGGTTTACGTACCCGACAAATACCTGTCGCGACGCTTTTAGCACAGAATGCCGTCTGACTGTCAAAGCCCTCTGTATCAGCTTCGCAATATGCGTTTGGCAGCACCGTTTCGGTGGTATACATCAGCTCCTTAGGCAGTTCGCCCCCTTCGCCAGGAATACTTTCAGAAAGTGCACCAAAGCCCGCAATAGTTATGTTGTCGCCCGCTGAAAATACAAATGATACGGAAAGATAGAGGTAGGCAGCGTGACCATTTCTCTACAAAAATAGGCAGATGACAGAAATACAAACCTAGTTAGACTTACGCTTTGGAAAATCTCGGCCTAGGTTAATAATTAAAGAATCATTTCCGGTCGTTTTCCATGATGGTACGCATAGTCTGGAGATATTATTTAGCTCCGTTTCAAGGAGTAGCAGCATGATGTCTTCTATTTCCTTGAAGTGACTCGAAATTCGCCTTAAAAAGTTACATTGTATTAGCAACTAATATTTTTATTTACTCTTTGAGATTCGAATAGATAAAACCAAAGTCTATGTGTGCTCATCCACTCAGATGTATGAGCGTTAATGATATGTTTGATCACAGAATACAGAAGCCAATTCGGTATTAGTCCAATGAAGAAATATATATCTCAATACCGAAAAAGAAAACCCACTATGCGTAAGTAAAAAAAAAAAACATAGTTAAAAAAAAGTCAGTTTGAAGCCTGTTTTAACCTTTATCAGGTTCAAATAAAAAATGCTTTTGCAAACCTTCAACAACCTATAAGCGAAAATTTCGTCTAAGGGAAGAGTAAGTAGCTTTCTTGTAGGCAAGAATTAGGGGGTATGATAGGTAATTAGAAGGGTATGTGTGGTTGAAAAGTAAGTGAAAAAAACTATTCGCTGTTACTGATAAATTAAGTGTTTAATAACTAAAATAACTGCACAATATAATCCGATTAAATGTAATATTGATTGTACACACCTACCGAATACCAGTTACAGAGACAGGCTTCATTAGGCGAATAAGGTTTGATCCATAAAGTACAACCACATCTGATCCCGGCCTATAGGAAACCCGTCGCAAGTTATAAGAGAATTATTTTCAAGTTACTTCATTTGAAGTTGCACTTTATGCTTCGATTGTAGAGTAAATTCTCCAGAGTTGTGAGAACGAACTTTTGCTTGGGGACAAACTTAAAATCAGCCACACGGATTTTGTAGCCTTATAACTATAAGGTCGAAGAACATGGGTTTTTCTCAAGTTTAAGTACATTTATGTTTTGTATACAATCACTTACAGTATATCTATCAAAATAGGACAAAGGATGATACAGCCGTAAGTAATGTCAACGGCGTGCTACGTAGAGGCCGTTCAAAAATTTGCGCCGTTCAACTTTTCTTCGACGACAAAATGAATCGAGAGCAGAACTCTTAAATAGGATTTCATAAAAGGAACATTAATAAAAAAAAAATAATAATACACAAACATAATGGTGGTTGTAGTTCAGGTGAAACACATTAATCGAAATTGCCTAGTGTCAGCATTCGGGCATACTTACGGTAATTGTATGAAGCTGGCGGACTTTAAAATTGAATAACCTTTAAATTAGTTAGGTGTTTTTTTAGTTAGAAGTACTCTCCTATTTTTTTGCAAACTTGTCTTAGCCTCCGGGCAACGATAAACTTACCATTCGCGTTCCCATATGTGATTGCTCTATTTGTAACTTTTTGAAGTAAATCAATAGTAAAATATGCTTTTTCAGAGTACGGAAAGCTCCGTAATCATATGGACTTGAACCGGAAGAACAAAAAAGTTGAAGCCAACGCTGGATATTGCTTTACTCAATCCACTAAGTATGAGGGCATTGAGGTATGGCGATCGGGGTCTGGTGTTGCCATCAAGTAATTAATTAGACCGCGTACCTTCGATCTCCGTGCCAACGGTTCATGAGTGTCTTGAAGAACTTCAGATAGCGGTTTGCACTTATTTCCTCGTGCATCTTATAGTAATAGATGCCCCTGATGTCTAGTGCAAGTACTACCATCATCTTACCTCTGGACCTACTTGACAGTGTCTCCGAATTTGTTTAGTCCCCAGAACGGTGTTATTCTCGTCTGGTCCTTCCCTACGGGTCTATGACAACTGTATGCTCCACACATACTTTCTGTTCGTTAAAGTTCCATAAACTGCCTGTGGAATATACCACACGCGTTTCCAATTGGTCTGGAATCAATTCACAAGGGACCAGTTTTTTTACCCACTTTCCGCATTTTTAGTCTTTGGGTTATAATTCTGCAATACATTAAAAGTGAATTTTTAGTTTTATCCTATAGAGCCTTTAGGCTACACGGTTTGCTTTCGTGGAAAGTCTTTTCGATTGCGGCAAAGCACTCGTGTCCTTCTGGTCGTCAGCTCGCTGGTCTTCAATACTCCGCTCTTGAAAGCTTCGCTTTCGCTTTTTTGCAAATATTTTCACCCATATTCGATGAATTTCCGCAGCACTGTAGTAAAGACAAAAGCTATTGACTATTGAGCTTTAACTTTCGAAGCTTAATTGAAATAATTTCTCTTGCACCAAGACCAACCGGTTTTCATTTACAGGTTACTAGAAGACTGAAGTATTTACCAGCAAAACTTCGTTTGCTAGTAGTGCGTAGTTTAAAAGTTATTCCTTTTCAAAATCGGCTGGATATACAACGAAAATAGCAAATTTTACTTATTCGTCTTTGTAGTCAACACGGTATCCAAATACCAAACAGATTAAATAGAACCGTTTGAAACACGCTGCCTTATATAGGTTATATAAGGCCTTTCGACTTATATGACACAAAAGTGCAACACTGTATGATATTCACTAGGAGCCTTAAAGATGATACCAAAAGCGACGGGCGATAGGTATACGACCTATCACAATTTCCACGCATCTGGAGCACGAGAATATGCGCGAGTGCAACTACCGGAGCACTGTATAATTACCTAAAAACCTACGGGGACTTAAATCCAATCTCAGTTCATAAGTTCCAAACTTATGGAAATGAGGCTACGTTCTATATCGAAGTTCCTGACGTAATTTGTGATCATCAGTAAAAGAAAAAAAGACACTGATATTTCTCTCCTGCGGCCCTCTTTGTGACTGTTACGGTGGGATCCTTTCCATTAGAATTATTTGGTAAGCATGCCGGGCTTAATCCGCATGATGATCATCCGGCCGATTCTGCCCACATTGTGCGTGTTTAAACGCCTGCTCCATTATAAACGACGGAACAATCGTACCCTTCACCCATATTTAAAAAGCAAAAAATAAATGTGACACTCATTAACGGAACCATTATTTTCCGAGAATAGCGTAATCCTAGGTGAATTAAGCGGCGGAGTTAACTTCGAAGTATTCAAGAAAGACACGTTCTCCCGGGTAGAAGCATATATTAGTACGAACGGATCTTCCATGTGCCGAATCGTTGTTGTATATAACATTACTTTTCCCAAACTGTGAAATCGAATGAAGCTAACCGAGGAATGGCATGAAGTCATGGGGTCCGCAGCACACCGACGTAATATTGGGCTATCAGAATTACTCAGAACTTTTTTGAGATCCTTGCAATAACCTATGACAGATGAAAAACATCCGGAAGGAAAACTTCACTTGTGCTAGACGAAACCTTGCACAACTCGTAATAGAACTAACCCGCTGTGAGCAAAGAAACACTCGGGAACCCCTAAAAAACCAATAATACAGCCGCCAAAAAGGAACTGATAATTCAACGAGGAAACAACACGTCGTCAGAGAACACGATGTACCTCGCAGCTCGAACTCCGAAAGCGTCTGCAATTATATTCACCGAACAAGGGACTATCTAAGCATCATTCGTCGATGAAACATTTATCACAGATGAAACCAAAAAGAAAAGAAATCTTGAACAAGAGAATGAAAACATTCTGATACATGTCTCTTCAGAATGCTGTGCGCGATATCGATCTCTAAGTATCTGCTGACTATGCTCACAGGCAGGCTGCCTTCCATTGCAGTGGAAAAGTTTAGACCGCCAGTGTCTACCATTATCACAGATTCTTCAATGAATGATGTACCGAACATCTTTAGGACAGCTATAGTATGTGCTGTTTACAAAAAAACGGCCAATAAGCGACTAGTACTGTTAGCCTTAATGGCATAATAGGAAGGCCTGCGAAGCATAATAGCTTAAAGCATACAACAAAAATGCCAATGCAAAGGGACCGATATCGAACCCGATTGCATATACAAATGAAAGAGGTCTTTGTTCTTCGAAGCGACGTACTTCCGCTTAAGAACACCTGGAACTGCTGGGTTTTCCTTTGCGCATTGAAGTCGAATATCTGCTGGTAGCTTGGCTCGAAGTCTTCCTCAGCAATAGAAGATTTAAAGTTTGTAAATGGTCAGTGTTGGGAAAGTGCTAGTTCAGCACCTAAATGTCCTCAGGTACTCGTAGGAACCCTCGTGCATCGAGTGCTGCCGTCAATATCGGCATAAATATTAATCACGCGAATTATGAAGACACGTAATTCACAAATAGATCTGCTGAGCAGCACGTTTTGTTACATTCTTATAAGTACAGCGAAAGACTTGGCCTATAGGAAACTTGTTAAAATGCGCCGTTTCACATTTGGGGCATGGAAGTGCAAAACCCAGATACAATTGCAGTAAATGTCGAATGCAGTTGCAAAGATCAGGGCGCCACCACGTGTACTCTCTAAAAAAAAAACCGGTAGCCTCGAATAGATATGTCAAACTGATCGTGATCTACACAACTTCATACTGAAATTCAGAGATCGGAACTAAAAGTAAAGAAAAAAAAATGTTTCAATAAAATTCACAGTGCCAAGAAGACATGTGAAGGATCCGTCTCCGTGGCAACTATGTAAGTTCATAGATTTTTATGAACTAAGTTATTGTTTTCACTGTGCTCCAAATAAAAATTGCTAGTCACCATGCATGGAACCTGTATAAGCGCAAAAATTATTTTAATTTTATTTAATCAATGTAATATTTAATTATATGAGAAAAGTACTAGGTACTACACCGTTTCGTGTATACACACTGCTGATTTTTTGCTGTAATTAAAAATACGCTGATGAGCCGAGTCGAGGTGAATAGTTTCAATAGAGGTAAGACAAGGCACCATTTACTTTCGCGTTTTCTAAATACGTTTATACTAAAAATTGAATGAAATTTCAGAGAGACCGCTAGCATAACAACGTCGCAATTCAATGCTACCAATCAGCTATGCTAACGATGCAGTCTCAACTATTACCGCCCTCTGGTTATGAAATTAGAAAGGAGCCAAGACGGCTGACGTAATTTCTATCTTACGTCAAAAGAAGATGCGCTGCGGTAAGGACGTGTAACGGCGTGATAAGCGCCCCCGTACCGTAGCTTATCAAGTTGCGGCCAATTTTCGTGTAGACGAGAACTGTCCATGGGAACTTGTTTTCCGCAAATTCTCCATCGACCACAAGAGTCTGTACAGGTTCGATAGCGTCCACAAGTCCACATCCTGTTTGATACGATAATGATGATAGTCATGTTGGTATCACACAGATTACGTAAATATGATAGAATATAATGAAAGTGGAAACTAGCTATGCGCATGATGAAAAATTTTGTAAAGTTATAGCGAGTACTTCGTCAGGTAACTCTAGTGCATCAAAAAGTTCTGTCCTATCACCTTAAATGCAGTTGCTAACAAGACATATCAGCTCAGCAGATTAAAGGTTTCTTTCTAAATGTGAGAGAGTTCCTAAAGCGTGGCAATACGAACGACTATTCGATACGAAACAATATTGTCAATTTTAAAATTGTAGAATACGTTGAAGCCAGCATACGCAATATATCACAATCATGCCTGGTGTGCCCCTCAAACCACATCCTCTCAGCCCAAAACGTCCAAGGTATTTCAACAGCGGACCCAAACTGAGGACATTGATAGCAAGCAGAATATATGATTGTCTCCCCAATTCAACAGCTGCCGTGCGGAAAATTATACCTCGAATGAAGTATCTTTACGTTAGTTCAATGGATACTTCTCCAATAACGAACGTGGGTCGAATATAGAAATGCTTCGGTAGCTATACCGTCGGTTGCTGACGATTACGCCGAGCATTGTTTGCCTTTTGGGCCTACGTTAGTAAGGTTGACTACAGATAACTGCTAGGGTTAACAGCCGCGAGCCACTAACAGTAACTCCCGCTTGAATTAAAAGCTGCCCTTTGGGTCCGACGGCTGCGGTTTGCAACACATTTTATGAAGTTCTTGTGAACGTCAGTCAAATTGCTTAATTCGCGTTTGTTTCACGCCCGCTTTATTCGGTTCTCTGAAATATGTGTCACCGCTCGTGATGATTTTTGAAAGATCAGTCCCTCCCAGTAGCACCTTGCCTTAGCTCTCCTTTTCTCGAAACATTTGCGGTCTTCGCCGCATTGCACGGTTCTTCGGCTTATTCGTGGGGATCATAGCGCGCAGAATAAGCGAATCTCTACAAGAGCTGTTGGGCACAAACGGCACTTCACCAAGTGAGTCCAATGATGAACTGTTACATTCTACCTTTCGCGTTCTGATAGATATCTTGCGGCCTGGATATTATTGCAATTAGGTGGTCCGGATACCTCCGACCAGCTTTTCGTACAAAGATTATTCTAGAACCCCACTTGAGGTATTTTATGCACAAGTGAAGGGCATATAAAACGAAGTCAGTTGCTTTCGAACGTCCGATCATTTAATTACCTCAACGTGATTATATTTCTTTTGTAGAATAGTTATATACACGTCAGAACGCTATACGGATACCGTTTAAGTACGTTTCTACTTGCTTGAATATAACTATTCGAAAACTGTCTGAACTAGTATAATCGTCGATACTCCACAGCCAATGGTCGTCTTACGTTCATGCCAGGGCCCTTGGAAAAGTTCTGCAGAACGGATCCTCGAATGGAATAGAGGGGTTTCACGTTGAAGCCTGAGGCTGTCACTTCAATAAAACCGACCAAACACAACTTGCACCATATAGAAGTTACGGAGTAATAAGAATTAATTCACTATTACCCATACTTTATTACATTACGGAAGAGTGCAATTGTATGCTTATGTATCTGTCACTTTTGGCATATTAGTTTGAATAGTTAAGTCTTCGAACTTGAAACACTAGAGCCGCAAGGTTCGAGCCCGATACGTATACTCAGATCAAGGCTCCGATATGAAGTCGATTCGGAAATTAGACAAATAGACAACTGTTAATTGTCCGATAATATTCGTCTCCACCGCAAGGGTTATCCATAGGGTACTAGTAATCACACAAGGTTCGTTTCACCTTTCACTTTCTATGAAAGTGATAGGAAAGTGATATGAAAGTGATGAAAGTATTTCTATGAAAATACAATATTTCTACCTCTTCATTTTTTTAACAAGTTAATTACATACTGCCAACTGATGATTATATCTATCTACCTGCCTAGTTGATTGTTTGTGACCGAGAGACCTTGGGCAAATCTTACCAGCCTCATTAGGGCGGACCTTCTTGTGATCTTTTGGTGCTGAGGAAGTTCCAACTAGTTTAGAAATTGCCCAGGCTATTAAGCCGATGCTTGCCAGTGCAAGAATGAAAACGATGCCCCAGATAACATATGTGTACAGGGGAAACGGTCGGGTTGTGGGTTGTACTTTTGAAGATGAACACGTACTCGATGAACACGATAAACGTATTGACTCATCCATCGAGCCTTTGGCTTCGTTTTTTCAACGGGCCAACTCATACAGCCACTGACTCAGTCGGCGACGCATTTTACACCCTACTGCCTCGGACAGAATACACCGTATACGTTAAAACTTTCGACGAAATCCTTACTCAATGCCAATGCTAATCAGCTCGCTAGTCAGCACAAAACACATAGTTCTGTGATACGCCTTCAACTAACACTTTTCTAGATCCATTTGTTATTGTGCTCTGTAATGTGACCAGCGATTAAAACGATTCCGTCAAGTGCTTTGAGCACACGAGTATATACACGTCCATACTGTCAAATACTTTCTAATCAATTACAGTTCTCTTCGGCGACTCGTCACTCGTGCGGGATTCATCGGCGTCACGTTGAACTGGAAAGCCCCCTAGATGACTTCAGAAGGAGCGCAGATAGCCAAAAACTCAACGATTCTCATACACGACCATATCTAGATTTGGATATTATGAGAGACCAACATTTTTTTTATTTGATTACCTGTTTATTCACAGAAATGTTATAATTGAAAATGTAAAATGCAGAAGGACATAAATGTTCGGATGTTTTTTCGATTAACGAACAACGTAGGATACTTGACCTTTCAGGAACTAGCTGGCCATTGTTGCTTTAATCGTTATCATGTCGGAAGACAAAACAACAATTCGGAGACAGTAACGACAACCAGCAGAACTTAGCGTGTACAGACTGCAATAATAACGACAAAGGTGTCAAAACACTCAGGACTCAAAGCGGTTCAGTAATCACCAAATAGGCCTGGAAGGCCATATGTCTGAATTAATCGCACATAGAGATGGGCTGTTTACATGGGCCTGAGAAATAATTGTTGTGCTCTGGAATAGACCAGGATCGGCTGCCCAGAGTAACGCATCCGATTTTCGATGTTTGCGCTGTGCAGAGGGCAGCGAAAGTGGCCATTTTACTCGTCCAAATCAACTACGCTTTACATCGACTTAGAAGCTCGCTCGACATAAGGGTGTGATCATGCATCGTGGGACATTGATGACAGCCCCGTAGACTCTCCTGGGAATATGGAATGATCTCTAGGTACAAGCTTGGTACATCCATGATCTGGTGGCCTTTAAACTTTCGACAAGAATGCAAGTAATTGAGTTAAGCAGATATGTATCGTTTCGTTATGATTTTTACCAGTTTAACCAGATAATGAAGCCTTAAACGAAGATCTTCACGTCTACGTATCAGTTATAGAACGGTGCAGAACGTTATTAAGGCAGTCGAGGGGAAGGGCACACGATGTATTTCTATTCCTATGCTGGTTGATGCGTGAGTCTATCAGCGCTACCCCTGTAGCAGTGGGATTCTTCACCCCGTCGCTGAGTCCATAGTCGACAGCCGCAACAGCGTCAGAATGTGGTAATGTGGCTATCTAAGTTAATCATTTTATGCTCTACTTACTACATACATAGAACGTAAAACAGAGATGTACTTTTAGATGCGCTAACCGCGCATTAGAACGAATAGAGATGAACTAAGTTTACGCACAGAGGTAAACAAACCACGTTAAGCAGGTACATAAAAATCTATAGAACTGTCGCAAGTAACCTTATGTAAGCCAGACTTCTAATTTTATTACTTCATTAATTGCATCACGTAAATAATCAATTTTTCATCAATAAACGTTTTTGAAATTTTATTAAGACAGATCTAATGTTTCGGTGATATATCAAAGAGTATCTGCCACCGTGATACAAAATTAACGTTGCTTGAATGCTGATCAAGTATACCCATTGGTATATATTCAATTCACTCAGACCTCGATTGAAGCTATTAATCCTATGATTAGAAACTTCTCTATTTAGTTCTATGTTCCATTCGATGTAAAGGTGCTTAATGTATTAAAAAAAAAATTTATTGAGCCTAGGAGATATATATGTATACTACTAGGACTACGATTTTAGATTGCTCCTGGTAGATGTTGAACAGATGACAGAATTTTTGTAGATGTCGATAGAAGTAGAAGATATTTATTAAAACTTTTTCTAGCTTGCTTGCTGGTTACGGTTAAGTTGTTATTACTCTAGACGTAAAAATTTTTCCGGAGAACTTCTAATAGACGAGTAGAGCCACTCAGTGTAGGCATAGAGCTTGATAAACCTATCTAAGCTGTACGCGCAGAAGCCGGTGCTTGAAGCTACGCCGACCGATACAAAACGATCTTCGATTGACATCATTGTAGATGCCCCCGAATCGCCCTGTAAAAATGCTCATTTTGGATTCTCTTATTAGAGACCAGATATTTGATTAGAAAGGCCGAATCGATATTATGAGGTAGAATCAAATCTGAGATAAATCGATCACAACAGCCGTTTGAATGAATCAGCCTAGTGAGAGTCTCTACGTACCCGGCATATACCTGTTGCGTACGACTTCGCGCAAAACTCGGAGCGCTCGATAAAATATGATATGTACTTTTTGCAGTATTCATTACTCAGCACCCTTTCCGTTGTATACATCAACTGGTTTGGCAGAGGGCCGTCACCTTGTGCCGGCGCACTCTCTCCCTCTATGCCGAAACCCGCTATGATCACCGTGTCACCCTCTGAAGGTACGAAGGTCAAGCAATACGTCGGACAATCTCGATTAATGGCATAACAAGTACGGCTGGAAAATTGGTTCTAAGGTGCCTTGCTTACCGTTTGGTAGAGACGCATTGAAGCCTTTTTTATTCGATCCATACAAGGTCCTCGCGGGCGGAACACATAATGTGGGTACACTTTTCACGCTGTTCTCAAGAAGAAGCAGTACAACATCGTTACTGAGGTCTGTCAGTCTAAATGCATCGGTGGCATACCTGCGACACAGTTAGTCAATCGATGAGTTCCCTATGAAGCAATGATTAATGTCATATTTAAGAACCTAAATGTACACTCTAACTAGGCATACGATTATCTTTTATTGTGTTTGAGAACCGTAACTGCTAGAAAGCGGAGTATCATTAATGCTTGATGCGTTCGGATCCGGAATTATCTATGTAGATAACCCAACGAATGCCGATCAGACGCTTAGAGATACGTACGTTTGTTACGAACATCTATATACCTACCGAACACCAATTGCTCGAACGCTCTTCATTCGCCGAACGACATCGGATCCGTAGAGAACGGACAGATCGCGCGCTTCGCTTGGACTAAATAAACGACAGAGCTCTAAATAATGCGAAGACTGTAAATCAAAACATTTTCGTAGACTATCATGGAAAACAGATATGACTTACGTTATATCATCACAAACACTTGGGGCCTTGACACGTCCCTCACTAGGACATCGATAATTTAATATATTTCTACTCAAACGAATAAGCGCGCTGTGCACAGAATAATGATACAGGTACTGTAGACTACAACCTATTGCATAAGCTGCTGACTCACGATGTGTGTACAACTTACTTTTTACAAACATCGTATTTGATATATTTGCTAGAATTAACGGTTCAGGATTTCTGCAACTGCAAAAGTATCGCTATAATGGCCATTCCTTCTTTGCTGTCACCTAAAATCAACTAGTTTTCTACAAGACTACGGCTATCCTTTTTTTCTATGGCTACTCCAAAGGACGCCTCGAGACTTAATGACATCAAAAATTATGTTGTAACATCGAAGATGGGACGTAAGTAATTTCCGATAGTCTTCAATGCTCTCCTTTCCTTTTAGCCCTTTGTTGATTTATATACATTATTCATAAGTGCTTGCTTCAACGTGAACCCGTCACAATTTTGTATGCAGTGAACGAATTTTACGTTAAATTCAGACATTAATAACGAAGCTGTCAAGCAGAGGAATTGCCTTTTTCAGTTAATTAGTGTTCGGCGCAGCATTTAGACATCCTTGGACCGTCATGTATACCGAGGACTGTTCTAGGGGACTGAGAAGACTGCTCGGAGGGTTCTGCTTAATTCAAAGATGGAACCTCAGAACTAGAGAGTGCATTCGACTTCGCTCCGTGAAAATCTTGGATCACTAACAACCGATTGATTGATTGGCTAATGGAACAAGGTAAAACTATTGCAAAAAATATTATGTTTATGCAAGTTGATCAGAAACCAGGGCCGTGGATGTGCCAAACACCGTGTGAAACACGCAACACTAACGAACGCGTAGCGATAACGATAGGTTGTTCTGGGTTGCAAGCGGTAATGAGATAGCGGAGTATGCAACGCGTACAAAGATACCTCCCGAGTTAAGCTATACTTCCATTATAAAAGGACAAACTTGATGAAACTACAAGAAAACAATAAGAGCGTCAACAAGGGTCTATATAATTGCACCGATTGGATAACACTATGTAGCAAAGAGCAGCCAGTAATCGCACCGGCGGCAGCCTTGGAAAGGTCATTCCTTTCTATAAAAATCCCAGGCCACACATCGCGAGGATTGAATATTACCCTGCAAAAATTAAGTGGGAGGGTTCTCTTCACCAGATTTCCCAGACCTCCCTAGTAAGTGAAACTAGTAATCGTACGCTTGACAGAAAAGAAGGTCTCAAAAGCTGGTCGACGGCTCCAGTACCAGGCCTGAAAAATTTTGGCAAATAGCAATAGATGCCTGTAAGATGGGAGAAGGTCGTAAGAGGCGATGGCGTACACTGAATTTAACGTTTCGCTAAGACACGTGAAATGCCACTTTATAAGCGGAGAAATGGAAATTACGTACATTCCAACCTAATACCTTAGAACATATCTGGCAATCTCCAATTAAACACTTCACCAAAATATACAACATAGCATCACCCTGTAGAGCACAACCAGGTAACCAAACAATAATGCAAACAAAAAAAATGTGGGCGTGGCGCTGTCATGCCCGTGCACAAGAAGCGCTTTCTCTAGCCAGAGATCTGTTTTCAAAAAACAGTCTTTTTTATTTCATTTTTTAGTTTGCACAGTTGCAGTAGCCGCCTAGTTTTTTCTAATAGTATTCGTTATAGGTAAAAGCCCAGTTCAGATTGTATGATCTACTTAGGAACGAGATGCGCCGCGGTGAGGACGTGAAAAGGCGTGACGAGAGCCCCCGTACCGTGCCGTCGTGTATTTTCAGGGGTTTTTGACGCGACAATCACCGTCCACGGAAAAGCGTTTCCTGCTACCATTCCATTTGCAATACGCGCTTCCACAACATTTTCATTAGGCAAAATTCCACAATCTGGAAAGGTGACAAAGCAGCTGTAGTGCGTAATGTCTAAACCAGCTGATCAGGCTGAACTGGGCGTCTTCACACAGAAAATCTATTTTTTGGAGCAATGATGCAGTCTCAGTTATCGCAAAAAAACTCGAGTTCTGCATCTACTATTATGCTTGTTTTGGGCTCACAATCTCACATAGGTAACCGATCGTTATGTATATATGAGGTTATAACATCTATGAGATTATAACAGTCTATTTTTCTCATTCTTCTATGTATTATTACTATTGTTCGACATTATTCAAAGATACTCTTTCTTCCCTTAAACACGCTGTAATTTTATGTAAACGGGGTTTCGCCTTTAGTCCAGGCTTCATGCACGTACGTTCTTCAAAAATTAAAAAAAAAATGCATTTTTGATACCCACTTTATTTTCCAATTGCCAAGGCTAAACACTAATAGCCTAGAATATTGAGATATGTGTGTCGTGTACAGGGAACACTAATTGAGAATCCGTTGAAAATGGTTTTATGATGAAAAAGTTCTATGATGGGATCTTCGACCTACGAAATGTTTCCCACCCCCGCTTGGCCATTCGAGCCCGATAAGACCCTCGAATTTGTATTAATTCGATAGCTAGCTACGAACAACTGGCTGTTGTCAAGCATTTTTAATATACAGAAGTTTGTAAAGAATTAGAGTGTCAAAAATAACTAGGTGCCCTACAAGCTGAGTGAAGCACATGCATAAATAAGCGCGGTGTCTCATCTTCCCTCAATTTCTCGCCCGCTAACGATACACAATAGCAAGTTCATACACGTAATTGTTACGGGAGACAAAACATGGTGCCTTCCATGTCGATATGCAATAAGAATTAGAATGGGTAGCTTCGGAAGATAACACTAGAAGAATCATATCTATACTGAAAAAAGAGCCGCGTTTTGATAGGACTTGAACGTTTTCATATTCTGAATATGCTTGAGATCATTAAGGAGGATCTCGATGTGACCTACCGAGGTACACGATTGATGAAATGAGACCTGACGATCAAAAAGACGCTAGGCCACGCATAACATATTTAGCTTCACATGGAAGTTCTTTTGCTTTTATTTCTATATTTTTTCGGCTTCGCTCCCACAGATCCTTTTTTTTAGGCCATTGACAAATGAAATTCATCACATTACCTTTGACAATGAAGGGGTCTCAAAAACTGCTTGAACTATATTCAATACCATACCTTAAAATTTCTAGCGAGGCGGAAAAGATTGATCGGTTGATTAAAGGAAATCTTTGAAAAAGACGCCGAGTATGCATAGAACTCTATTTTCGAGTCAGACAACCACCCTCTTCCCCTCATTATATATATACCTACTCAGTTATGGGTCATATGTTAGCGATATACAGTGAAGTTTCTTTGTTCAATAAGGCTTGAAGGAGCAAGCTTAGATTTTTTTGGTGACCTCGGTGGCCAAATTTTCCAACAGGGCAGAATCTGACTACACTAGTTTGACACAAAGTTCCAAGTTGTAAGTGCATAAATCACAATCTCAGCAATGAATAAATATAACACTAGTTAATAGATCCCACATTGATAATTGAAATGATTTGAGAATTTAGCATGTATATATATATATATATATATATAAAACATGTGCTTCATTAGTGACAACTATATGCCTTTAAGGTTTAACCAAACCTATTTAACTTACGTGTTCTAAAATAGCAGAAATAGGCGAGTTCGCTGACAGAGCTAACTTTGTTCTCCTAATCTAAATTTCACCGAGTCTATTTTGTGCCGAAACCGAGCCTTCATCATGAGCCATTTTCATATTGTGTAAATATTACAGTAATTGATCATTGAGTCAGTTACGTTGCTCGCATAGTTTGTTTGGGCAGAAAGTATTTGCGGAGGCGCCCATGGAAATATATAGTTAGCGTAAGTAATAAGTTCTTTTATAATATAATAATAAAAAAAGTAAATTTTCTGTAACAGACATAGATTATTTTAACTATCCCTGTATGGTAGTTTCAGTGATCTTATGGCATTTTGAATTACCCTATGGAATTTTCGGATGAAATCGAACTTCACAGAAAACATTTTTGATACATTTTTAAATATTTGAAAAGTGTTTAACCCTCATTTAATCACTTATCATTTTATTAAAGAAAAAAATCTTTGCACTCTCTGCAGAAAAGAGACTGACACGTCAAGGATGCTCTACTGTCTGAATTTAATGAATTAACTGTCAAACGACATGAAACCTAGTGCTTTCTGTATTTTCCTATGTTCAAACTACACGAGTTTTGATCGTCGAGGACACAGTTGTATTTTACTTTGGGTTGCTTCGGTTGTTTATATTTATTACTACACTTAGACCTGACATCACCAAGCGTTTTATGAAGCCTGTAAATTCTCAGTCACTTCTTATGCAGATATACAGCCCTGTATCGTTCGTTTACATTATCAGTTTTAAGACTTGACGTACCATGTTCCACCTCTTCTATAAGCACTATTAGGGTCTTGAAACTTTATGGATAAAGTTTCAAGACCCTATGCGGATACATTCTCAAGACGTTGATGATGACGACGACAACGACAACGACAATAACAACAACAACAACAACAACAACAACAACAACAAGTCTCCCACTTCAAGTCACCAGCAGAAGTTTTATTTTACGGAACTTGAGACACTAAAGTTTTTCACCTTTTAATGTGCTGTACGGACAGTAGCAGGTCATTAGTCATGGTCGGAAGTTATAATGCGCCATAATAATAGACACGGCTGAGTTACTCCATAGACCCAGTACCGTCGCAAAAGAGCTCACGGCAATCGACTGTGCTCCTTCCGAATTGGCATTTGGCGATGACTTCCTGCTTTTTTACACCCTTGAAGACTAATATTATTGAGAGGATTCTGTTTCAAATTTTGTGTGAGCCTCCTTTGCATTCGACGCAGAAAACAGTTTTACGTACACGACTAGTACATAGGACATACGAAGAAATCCTTTGAATGATCACATGAGTTAGCTATTTCCGTTATTTGCAAACGATTTTACTTTTCAACAATCAATTTTACCGACCGATCAATGCTCTTCCAGCTGAACGAATTTGCTGCGCCGGCGCTCGAATACATGACCCATATTTTTTTCACATATATTACAAAATTATACAAAACAAATAAAATAGATACCTTCGTCATAAAACGGGATCTGCAGAATCTTCAGTCCCGGCATCGGTAACAAGAACAATGCGAAACCGATCCCGACGTCAAACTTTCCATGGGAAATACTCATACAAAGGTTTTGCCTTAAATTAGGCCCCTCTACAAATAGAGATTTCCATTTTCTAAAAAGAGGCTGACAGTGGACCATGAAACAGCAGAGAACCTGCAATACGGTAATACGTATCCTTTGTAAAGCTTCGAGGGGCGAAAGCTAACTCTTTTCCCCTAGTTCATGCAGATGGTGGAGCATCATTCCGAAATGAATTACTGATCACTTTTGTGTCACTTAGCGAATCTAGGATAGCTAAAAGCAATATATTATAGTAACGTCACTTCAGTTTCAATTGATTATGAACTCATACTTACAGGCATCGTTGAGTTCTACTTTTTCATGGGGTGCTAAACTTTTGAAGTAAGCGAAGAGCCAAATGATCAACCAAATAGACAGGAAAACGATGAGAGCACAGAGAAAAGATTGAGCTGCCCATGCTATCCAAAGGCGCACGGAAAATATGTTTTTTTTACGATTTACTGAAACAATTTCTCTGCTTGAAGTAGGCTCAGTACCAGAAGAATCAGTGTGTTCGTAAACCGATTCTCGGTTCTCATCCCTTTGGGCCATAGTCGATTTTCAGAAAACATTGCTACCACAGATTATTCATGAAGCGTGAGAGATTACCCTCGTAGCCACTTCGTTATTTTTCTGACAATAAAATCGTAAGAAGTGCACACAGACTTACTGTCACAATTAGGAGACACCCAAACCTCAATTGTTTGTCGTGACAAGCGCGAAATATAGTGCAGAAATTGTGGGGTCTTTCAGGTACTGCCAGAGCACTCAACTGCGTACTAGTGCATCCTTTCCCTTCAAATAAACGATCGCAGGCTCGCTATACTCAGTGCTTCGATATATCAAACAAAAGATTCTAGAAGAAAAAAATGTTGTAAATATGTATTGACACAAACGCAACTAAAAATAAATTTCACAAATAACACAGAAAACACAAAATCGTTTGTAACGTTAATAAATGACCATTAATTGATTAGGCTATAATATTTGTAAATAGAAATAGGGGTACCAGTTGGACATAATTAGATCGAGTAGCGATGTTTCTCAACTACATTCGACAGGCACCAATGACAGATTCAGCGTTAAGGACGACCCGGTGCTGACCAATGGCTTTCCCCAAGACGGTCACCGCGGCTCGATAATCACATTTCAAAATACATAGATAGGTTTAAGCGCCTCTGTATTGTGTTGGTAACAGCGAACACTGTCGCTACAAAAGCTATCACTCCTGCTACATAGAGATGTAAAAATCAGCACAGACCGTATCTTATGGTACAGAACCGACATAACGAAAACGAACGGCCGCAATCGATAAGGTAGAGTCGGGTTATATAAAATATCTGAGGAAGCCGCACAGATTAACCAACAATAACATCATTTGCCCACCGACGGAGATACCTCTATGTGTAGTGTAGCTCTTGGGTCCATTCATGTTGTCTGACACTGATAGCCAAAACTGCTCTATTTGAAATTACGGCAGGCAAATGTCGGTGATGTCCTGGTAAGGCGTTCGTCGAAGCCAGCGCCACCTAGTGATAGCTAGCTGCTTGCATGTTCTACAACGAAATCTGTAGCACCGAAAATTCTACCGTTGGCTAAACCTGAGATAAACCTCTATCGACAAGTGCACTTGTATAAACATATATTATTTTCACATAGTTGTCCTTTATTTAAGTAGGAAATAAGGTGATAAACAAAACGATCCAATTCCCACTAGGCATAATGTACCTGATTACAGTGATTAATTTCAAAAAAATAGAACTGGATTAATATAATTGTCATTAGAAAACACGAACAAGACCATCACCGTATGGACAAATATGGGCAAGTCTTAGCTGGTCAGATATAATCGAAAGAGGAACATTGAATTTGTTTTAGGCGCGGCTCGACAAAATGTTGTCTTGACAAAGCTCAACGCGATATATCATCGATATTGAAATGATTTAATACATACATATAGAGGATACAACCTTCATGAAGGGTAATAACGTAACATATGGCAATGATGTTGTGTGGATACTGAACTAAAAGTTGTACATCTGACGCCTTGGAAAGAACTACCCGAGTCAACTAGAATTTTACTTAATACTGGTAACCAAGTTTATTAAACCAGCCATTTTATTGCTAGCTATTTGAGTAATTCTTATTATTTACAGCACATTGATACAAGCCTATCTATTATTAGGTTCACATTTCGAATGTTATATAAATGGCACCTTGCTTATATTGTAAATGTACTTATTGCTGCGCGAGGTTGCCGGACAAAATATCCTTCTCCAACTAGAGGTCATTTTAGAAGGTCGATATCAAGGTTGCATACGATAACAATAGACAAAACTATCGTAGAAAGACAATGCGATAGAACAGAGAATACGTAGCTGGAAATTGGTGCTACCTATGTTGCCAGCAAAATTATCGTCCAAGGTGAATCACTATGTGACTTTTCTGACTAATCTAACTACGCAGCTTAAGCGTTCTCCAGGTTAATTCGCGAATGAATTTCGCCACAAATCTCCAACGACTATCATTTATAGACACTTTAATAAAGCTGTAAATATGTGTATGTTCGAATTTAGTCCTTAAGGGCATCGAGAGATATATACCAGGCCCATAAGATGCACTGTTTTGAGTTGGGCCACTGTAACAACAACAGAAAAGCATTAATTAACTGTAAAAAATACTTTGAAGCAACAGTTTTGGAAGATGTTGTAATATTAAAATACTGTGATTCATTTTTTTTTTATAGGAAGCACATAAATTTCAAACAATACAACGTCTATAATAATATTATAAAAATAATTTAAAAAATAACGAGATTTTGTATTCGAGTGATTCAGTTTTAAACACTCCATAGATAATTATAGGTCGAGCTATTTCAACAATTATTTTTGTAATATGTGTAGACGTCAAGCAGAAAAGCAAACGACACAACTGGGAATACTCGATGACTATTTCAAATAATATCAACACAGTATTTTGGCAAGCAGCATTCGTCTGCTTAATAATAATAACACAACAATACTATATGTATTATCAACTGCTTCGCTATTTGTATCACACTTTTTTTTTCTAGAACTCTGAGCAGGTCCAAGAAGTAGACCTTTGTAGACAATGTGGAATAATCCAGAAGATCTAATTCGACAGCATGCGTACTGTAGTCTACGACTAATTTGGAGATCGATGCGAAAATAGCCAATCAATCGACGTGACCTAGCAGTTGTCCTAGAAACCAGTGTTACCTACCAAATGCTACCAGCGTTACCTCGCTTTGCCTTAAAATCATATAGGCAATTACCATCTTGATTAAACACAAAAACAAAAACATAACCACATTAAGAGTTTACTATTTATAGTCATGCAGACAAATTGATTCTTTCAATTATCGAACGTCACGTTTTGAACTGTTTGACGTGAAGCTTTAACTGATCCTTTCGCAGGACAAGAGGAGATACACTGACACCAATTTTGTAGTAATGTTCTTCAGATTTCTCGACGGAACACTAATTTAAGGAAATGGCTGCACAGCATAACACACGACAGACGCTATTTATAAATTAAATGAATCGCAGATACCTATTTAGTAAATTATATTTGGGTCCATTAAAGAGTTTTCGCAATGGTTGGTAGGTAGTTACCGGCAGATGAAAAAAGATGTCTCCTTGCGCATCCTAATCCATGTTCGATTTCATATTCAACAGTTTACCAATCTTATCTATGATTATGCCATGGCTCGGAAGTAGAGCTCTAAAGACCTTAAGAATGGCTAAGCGTTGCTGACACACACGCCCTATCCCTTGCCCCTGATGTCAACCTCCCAAAACCCTAATACAGCCATTTTATGGACGACGATATTATCACTTACCAATACCTTCAGACGGTACTATCACCATCATTTTAGACTCTTCATCTGCTTAAGTCGACGCAGGTTGCCGTCGCCGCAAAAGCCATCCACAGCTACCATCATGCATTAGACGGTTTTAGCGAAATGCGCAAACAAGCAAAGCTCTGCCATTACTCCCATGGGCATGGTCAATGTTTTTTTACTCTCTCTCTCTTTCTCTATGTACACGTATATGAATATACACTCGCACACAAAAAAAGAGCAGCTAAATTTGGACTTCTTAAAAGCTAATAACACTGCATCTTTTATATGATGCTAGGATGTAAAATAACATATGTCATAAAGCCGACCTCACAACTGTAACTAGTTATTAAGCAATCCTCACATTTTCGACTGGATAGGTATCAGAGCAGGTGGTTGACAATGACCTGGAGGAAAATGGAGCCGCCGAGGGCGACAGCTAAGCTCAGTTTATCATTCAAATGAGTTGCAAGTCTGTACGGTTGATTCAAAAACAAATATCTCAATGGGATTTTTTGCACGCGCTAGAAGTGACGGTCATGTCGATTGAATACGACCACTGTCATTGCTACGATAACCTCTTTAAATTGAGAACTAAACAATTCGTTAATCCTTTCGAAAATTTCTTCTTCGAATTTTTCTTCTTTAATTCGTAAGTAATTTTTTCGATGGTAACCGTGAACAAAGCGATGTTAGTAGTTGTAAACTTGTTAATGTGTTATTCTTTTGATGAAATTCAACTTGGGGCTGGTAACAGGCCAAGAGCCCCCAAATGCATTGGCTAACAATGGCCAAAAAGTCCAAAGGGTACAAAAAGGTAAAAAAAATTCCCTGTTGGAACTTATCTGGGTGACCCAATTGATAAGTGGTACTTTTTTCGCCACAGCGGCCCTTAACCTCTCTATCAAAAGTCCAGGTGTGTTAAAAATGTGTTTTTGAGCCATTTTGATAAATATTTGAGCCCTTTAGATCTAAAGCCCATTAGAGGTTTTCCGGTTTGCCTCGTGAAAATTTTCTCCGAATTTTTTAGAGGCCGCATAAAAACTAGCAATAATAGTAGAGCATTGATTTTAGCATAAAAGGAAGTTTTTCATATTGGTAAGGACTCGTTCAGCGCGAAAAGGTACAATAACAGCTCATTTTAGCTCAAATTGCAGACACCACGCACCGTAACGGGTCTCTTTTTTTTCTAAAAGAAAATAGGCTTTTTTTAGTCGTAGGAATCAACGCAGATAAACGCACGCCCATTATGAAAGACAGCCAGGTAAAATGTCTCACACTTTAGGTGTCGTATATATATATATACACGTACCTACACGGGCGTATATTTTACTGTGATGCCTAAGCGCTTATGCCCTTTGCATCTATATTTGTCTGCTGGAGCCTGTTTGTGTCAACGTTTGAATGTGTCTGTGACTGTTTGGGGCGCTTTATTTGCCTACCCAGATACCACCCCGATGATGACGGCTCTTGTTGTTGATTTCCTTATTATTGTTTCTAGTATTATCACCCGTAGAGCATTGTTTTTGTATCTGTGATCACGTGAATCTCTATGAGCGTACGTGCGTATGTCTGTGTCTGTAAAGGAGAGCGCATTCGAAGTTGTCGCCGCCTCGGTCTTCCTTGACTCGGTGCGTCAGAGAAGCGTACCAGGGCATTCCCTACAGGCACTGCTAACGTGCAGCTGTAACTGACGCTGCTGTTTAGAGTTTGGTTGGTTCATGGTGACGACGATTTTACAGTCGTTGATAATGGCAAGCTTCGCGCTCGTATACACACTCAAATACTGGCAGCTGTACC